TGTTTTCAAGCCACAGAAATGGCCTTTGGCTACTTTAATTAAAAGAAGAGAGAAGTGCTCAAATGCACAGACAGGGAGGATCATGCCATCTCAGAAATTATCAGGAACATTACTAGGACTTTATGTCCTTTTAAAAAAGATCTCCTTTTTCTAGTCTGCTACCTTCTCTTTTATATGTTTGCTTCTTTCTCTCTGTCTTTTTAATTTTTTTTCATTCTTCTCCCTCCCTCCTTTTTCACTTCCTCTTCCTCCTCCTTCTCCCCCACCCTCTCTTCAAAGGAAGAATCCATTCATGATTCTGAAGTATATTTGTCCCCTGTTCAAAGGCTGGCCAGTCAGCCTGTGCCTTCTTCCTATTCCCACCCTCCTAAGAGGCTGGCTGACTCAGCTTGGTCAGATGTCCACCAAATGCAGAGGGTAGGTGTCATTGTAAAAGAGTACAGTGGCCAGGAACTACTGTAACCTGCTCAGGAGTAATAGCGTGCAGATCTCAGTGCAGAAGATTGGAGTATAGGATCGAAAGGCACCCACAGTCAGTTCTTTTCAAGGAACATGACATCAGTTGTACTTCCTTCCAGGATGACCATTCCGATCTTTCTCATGCTGAAGGCTAGTTTGAAGGTCATGTTGTAATCATTCATTCTTCCAGAGAAAAAAAGAAGACAAGGAATAGAAGGGGTAAGTAGCTGTTTGTGGGAAGAGGCAGTCAGGAATTAGAAAAAATGAAAGCAGTCAAGGGGCAGCTTTCATATAAATAAATGTGACCCTCTTATTGCACGGCCATGTGGAGACCATGTGGCTGCCAGCCCATGGCCAGAAATCATACTACTTCATTGTGTCAAACGCACCATGAGAGAGAACAGACAGAGCACTGTCGCCTTCTGAAGTAGAGGTGTGTGCTGACGGAAGGAGGGGAGCCTAAAGCCAACCACATTACTGGTTCCACTTCTGGAGGCTCCCTTGCTTGCTCCACACAACCTTAAGGCAGTTTTATTCCCTGATGGAAACTTTTACTTACTGTGAGGTCCTAGGGCCAAGGCTCCTGTTCAGAGCTTTGAGGAGGTTCAGAGTGGGAGAGGTTCCAAAGGATCTCAGTCTTAATATTAAAGGAAAGAAAGAGACCCTTCAGCTTTGTGCCTCCCTATAGTAAATGCCTGGTGAGAAGACTTTAAACTATCCAAAACTTTTCTGTGATTCTCATACCCTTGGTAATTCCCTCCATGACACTTCTGTTCTGTGTTCTGTACCTCACAGAAACTTAATCTTTAGGTCTCCCATTTCCTATGAAGACAAGCCACTGCGTGACTTGTGACTTGTATACCTTTCTCTTTGAGGGAGTATCCAAGACATGAAGGACAATCTTAACATGTGGAAAATCCTCTGTGCCACCATGTGGCAATTCTGCTGAGCTCTGAACTATACACAGAGCACAACAACATCCTATGCAAGGGACACTGTTTAGCCAATAGCTTTTGTTTTGTTTTGTTTGTGAAACTAAAGAAACATGTTAGGCAGTAAAGAGACTGTAGGCATAATTACAAAACAGACTCCAGTCTCTTCTGAGTGTAGAAACATCGATTAACAAAATTGAGAAATACCTATCAGTGAAACACAAAGGTCTGCAGCTAGAAGTTAAAATGCAAAACTGAGGCTTTGAGCTCTCATGTTTGCCCTGTAAAATTTTAGACCTGTAGCAAATTAGGACCCTTAAGAAAAAGTAGAAGCTCCCATGGCCTTGCTGGTCCTCTAGGATGTTTGGAAACTGTGCAAATGGGGATTGTGGTTAAAGCAATACCTTTCTCAGATTCATCAGAGAACACACTCTCTGGAACACAATTAAGATTAATTTTTTCCAAAAACCACTGTTACTTTTTAAAGGCATGGCCCTACCCAGGGTTTTACTTTTACCCAGGGAGTTGCTTTTTTTTTTTCCTACAAATTGAAGACTCCATTTCCATAGTCCCTAGGATCATTCATTCCATTCATTCAACAAATTAGAACCATACTAGATTCTGGGAATACAAAGACAAGCAACACAAATAGCATCTATCTTCATGGAGCTTGTGATGTAAAATAGGATGAAGACAAGCTACCATATATGAGCACAAATGTGAAATTGTCAGAGCAAGTAAAGAAGAGACACGGTGTTGCAATCAAACACTGTTCTTTTTTGGTGAGGAGTATACAACCCATTTCAGCCAAGGCCTGCGTCCCCGCGAGCAGTTGAAACATGGCAGCCTGAACCAAGTTTCCTTCTAGACTTGACATTCTTGGTTTCTGAAGCCCAGTGAATTGTAGTCATATCCAAATTTGAGAGATAAATGCAAGCCCAATGTACTAGGCTTTTCTATTGACTTATGAGTTTTGCAGTAATGATATATGATTTTAGCCCTTAAAACACACCTTGATGTTTAGTCCCCATGAGAGAATTTGCATCTTTTGCTGAAGAAATAGTTAAGTTGGCAATAGATCTCGATTCTATTTGTTTTCTACTCCCCAACAAAACAGGCATCACTTTGAGAAATCTGAGGACTGAATTAGAAGGGACTAGGTCACTTTAAAGTGCAGGGTCTGTGGAGACAGTGACACAGAAGCCTGAAAATTCCAAGAAATAGCAGCATGAATGCTACTTGGGAAGCAAAGGCGCTGTATGCAGGTGAGAGTTTAGACTACTTACATGATGGAGAAAAATATCTGTAGATGTACTGATTGACATACTGGAGAATTATTCCTAAGAAGCATGCAAGTTGGTTGTGATTCAGGTTTCAAGAGCCATTCTTTTCTTTGCCCAATGAAGAACTTTTAAATCTGTGGTCAGTTATTTAATTGCTTATTTTCTCCATGAACCCTGACTGTACACCAGTTCACATTATAGGGAGACAAAAACACAAGAGTTTGTTTAGAGCTCTACTGTTAAGAACGGAAAGCTTCAAGAAAATGGAAGAACAATTTAATATTTCATGTAATGTTGATTGCATAGGACAATGTACACTTCTATGGTTATAAGATGCCGGCCTGAACTGGAAAGATGATGTGGATTGTAGCTCCTAGGTTGTTAGAATTGTTTGATATTGGCCATTCTGACAACCTACAACCGCTGAGTGATTGCCCTATATGTGCTTCCTATAGTCAGCTAGTTGGGCTCTGCTGCCCTCATGGGGCTGGTTGCTGTGTTTGTTCCATGGCCTCTTCACAGGACCATCTCCCTAAACAGGTCTTTTCTCCTTCACCTGTTCCCTCCTACAGAGATCCTGGTACCTTCCAAACCCTTTTTCATTAGCTTTTTCCTCACATTCAGGCCCAGAAGCTGCTGCTGAATATAAGAAGGAATATTTTTTCTCTATTATATCTTCTGACTTTGCCTTTGTTGGTTTCCCTGCCACTGTTAAGTGTCATGGGGCTGTTTGGTGTGCAGTAAGCTACAAAGAATTTGAAGCCAGAGAACACGATCTAAAGATTTTCTGTGCCTCTCAGTAGTTGGTGACATTTGGTGAATCATTTCATTTTCTTGAACTTTTATTGCCTTACTTTGATTTTTAAAAATGGTGTATTTTGTTTTATTGTTTTTTCAGTGCTAAGGATTAAATCCAAGTATTTGTGCACACTAGACATATGCCCTCACGGACTAACACTCCAGCTTTTTTTTTTTTCTTCTCTCGCTCTCTCTTTTTTTTTTTTTTTTTTTTATCTTTTTTCCTTTTTATCAGTACCAGGGATCGAACTCATGACTGCCTGCTTGCAAGGCAGGCGTTTATGACGCTGAGCTAAATCCCCAGCCCCTAACACTCCAGCTTTAATTTTTGTTTGTTTCTTCTTCCTCCTCCTCCTCCCCCTCTTTTTCCCTCCTCCTCCTCTTTCTCTTCTTCTCCTTGTCCTCCTCCTCCTCCTTCTCCTTTTTCTTCTTTTTCAGGCTGAGGTTTGTGGTAGGTGCTTCTCTCCCCATCCAGCTCCCTTCCCTGTAGGCAGAGCTCCATCAGGGTAATGCTCCTTGTGACTCCCTTTGGTAAACGGAGTGTCCTGTCTGATATGTGAGACTGGGAGTAGGAACTGGATGTACTTACTTTGCTCTTTTTCTTTTTTTGGCTTCCTAAAGTGTAGCTTTCAAAGAGCAAATGATCTATACATCATTAGAGGCAGGTTGAGCTACTGGGCTGGCTGTGAGGAAGGAAGGGGACTTGCCCAGGTCTTGTATCAATAATGGAATTCAGTGTTCTGAAGCCTGCTACTTAGCAGCGCCCGTATAAACTATACTCTCTCATGTCAACCACATTCATAATAAAGGTGATTATTTTGTTTCCCACTTGGTGAGTCCTTTTCCTTATTTCGAGATTCATGTTGGGAAGGAGAGAGTTAGGTAGTGGATGGATATGATTGTAAATGAAGAACTTCAATGGTTACAAAGAAGGTTTTTTAGGGAAACCATACTGTACTTCCATTCTACTTCTGATCTTAAGTCCTCAGACACTGAATTCTCTTGTAGACAATTAGTAAGATCATCTTCATTATACTCAAAATTTTCCTATGTATTTTGGTCTGTTACTGGTTCTTTTACTCCCTTCTGTTAATTATTTATTCATGTGCCATTTGAATATTGGTTTACTTAGTCTTGCTTAATAAAACAGGTATTTTTAGTTGTTAGTCTTTCTATATTACTTTTATTTATTATGAATTGTATTTACAACCTTTCTTAGAATTTTTATTTATTATTTACATAAGAACTTTATACTAAGCTTGCTTAGTGAAAAGTATTCCTATTGACATTTTAAATGGGGCTGTCTGTATGATTATCCATTGATATTTTGGGTGAATAAATGTTTAGATTAATCTTAGTACTCATGTAAGTTTGCTGTGCATATCTCTTGTACTACAGGGAGGAGATAGAAACCCTTATTTGAATAGTGCTGTATAAAATGTGAATTTCATATTTGCATAAATGTCTGGTCCTGACTTCCGGAAAAAGTGTCAGAGATAGACGAGTAATGAAGAAGAAGGAATCAACATTTGTGGGGAGTTTTTCTTTATTTAAAATTCTCAATAGATTGTTCTTCTGGTGGACTCTTCCCTAGTGGACCAGTGATGCTGGGGAGTAAGTCTTGTACATGGAGCTCTGTCTTGCACACTTTGGAAGGACACAAGGAAGCCCTCAAGGGTTATCAACTGTCAGTTCACATGGGAGGGTGAGCAGTCTTCTCCAGCTGGGGTGACGAATGAGCACTCATTTTCAAAACTGCTGGGAATATGTTGTCAGATCACACATCAACCCAACTCTGATCATAATTTCACATAGGCTGTAGTCACAAATTTGTAAAAAAAAATGACACATAGATGCGATAAATGGCCTCAGACCTGACTGCGTAAGTTTATCACTTTATCTGAGCATATACAACAGGATCTGTGTGTACAGAATGGTTTGTAGATAAGCGATTGCTGTTTTCTTCTGAGGGTTTGAAAGTCATGCTGGCATAGACAAGTGACTCCTTTGGTATGGATGAATGCTTCAGAGGGAGAGAAAAGAAGAATGAAAGAATGAATTCAATTTGAAGCCAAAAGTGTCTCTAGAAGCAACCTGAAAGCTTTGGTAAGAGGGACCCAAAGAGACTTGGAGAAATCTTTATAAAATATTTGCCCAGAAAGAAATTATTATTCCAGTCAGTAATGCAGAATACAGAGGGAAACCCCTATCAGAGTGGCTCTCCAGGACCTTCAAACAACATGGTGGTCTTACCCTGGCAGGAAGATCTGAGTGAGGATCCAGGCGTTGGGGACTGGAATGACCTGAAACAAGTGCCAGAGAGGAGAAGGATAAGTCTCACCAATGGGTCCTGGAAGAGAAAAGAGCCTTTCCCTTCCATCTTGGGTTGGAGTTGGGAGGTGGTGGGATGGGGGTGGGAGGCAGGGAGTAAAAGAAGGGGAAAGATTTGGATTCTAGTGCACAGAGCGCATGAGCCAAGCTGGGTTTTTTCCCCTCCTCCTGTTACTTCCTCCCGGCTATCTCTGACCTCAGTGGCAGAGAAGGAAGGCTGTTTCATTCCTCAGAAATCACTTACGTTTTCTATAGCACTTTATGATGAAGAAGATAAGGGCTGTCAGCAGCAATGTCAGTAAAACCCCAGCAAAAAAAGCCAAGATCAAGTGGTCCTTGCTGTTTGGGCAGAAAGATGGAGCAGATGAGCTGTTGGGACTTTTGTTAACCTTTCCTAGAAGCCAAATGTAATCTTTCCCAGCTGTGGGTAAGCCATTGAGATAGTGCTCGTATTGGTTACTGGACTTACACTCCCACCCACTGGTTGCCAACTGTTCGCTTTTGAGTTCTAGATCCATTTGAACCCTGAATGGAAGTTGTGTACTCTCTCCCTGTCTCCCACCCCCCACATGCATTTTAGAAGCTTAAAGGAATTCATAGATGTCCTGAAGCTTGGGGCTAAGAACTACACTCCTAAGAGCAAACACTGGTTTAATTCTTCCACTGTTTCTGGCCCCTTCTCTACAGAGTTCCTTCCCCAAAGTCAAAGCTGTCAACGTGAGATCCAATGCCACGTGGCCCAGAATGAAAGAGATGGTGAATACTCATTTACTTGAGGTGGCTTCTGGTCACTGGGGCTGCCATAGAGGCATCTAGAAAAGAACATGGAAGGGATCAGTGAATCTGCTACTTCTCACGCTGCCCTTCTAGCAAAAGGCCCTGTGCCTTCCCCACCCAAGCAAATAGGCTGCAACTCTACATGGTGAGATACGGGGGTTCTTTAATATGATGATGTACTGGATCTAAAGACAGTCAGCTATAGAAATCAAACATCCTTGTGTTCCACAGCTCTATGTGTCTCTTTGATAAAGAAAACACTGCATGTGTCTCCTTCTCAAAAATTCTAGCACAAAGCTCTGGGAGATGTGTTCCTTCTGACCTATGGGGACTCTCCAAGTCAGGAAGTCAGAAGCCTCAGTGAGGCCAGCACTTTGACCTTGGAAACTCCCTTTACTTTTTGTTTGTCTGCAGAGTAGCTATTGAAAGCAGCCATGGTGCTTTCGCTAATACCTATAGTGCTGAAAGGGGAGCAGGAAGGGAAGCAAACTAGATTTTCCTAAACTGCCCAGATGGTTTACTCAAATTTGGAGGGCGAGGCAGTTCTTTTTTGGTTTCCTTTTTATTCTTGTGGCCTCAGGCTGCATCATGGCAAAATCTGATTCTTCCACTTTGGAGATGCATTGGCCCGGTGCCATTCCCTTTACAGTCCTTCGGCCCAATTTATTTTTCTTCCAGTTCATTTTAACTTAGCAAGGAGGCAGGTAACAGTTCCCATTCGGAACTCACCAGTGGTGGGTCGACATGTGGAGGAAGCTTTTCCCATGTTATATTCCCCTAAGAACAAAAAGGTTCCTTTTAGAAAGCTTGCAAGGGGAGAGGCAGTTGAGGGCCAATTCTAAGACTGGCATTCATATAGGAGGAGTAACAATAAGGGAGGCAAGTCAAGGTGTTCCAGTCTAGTCATAGACTTTATTTATAAAATTGCTGCAGCAATTATAAAACTGTGCTAGTGTTCAGCTGTGTATGTTCAGAAATTTTGTCTTATCAAGACCTGAACAATTTCTTCAGAACTGATGCTCACCAGTCTGCTCCAGCAGATTAATGTATAAACTGGAATGGCATAAGCAATGTAATAATGTAAGTAGTCTATTTCATCTTTTGGAACATGTAAGAATATAAATGAAAACTATAATTTTGCTTGGTAAGCATTGAACTGAAGTAAATCGGAGAGAAGATGAATGAATAATTTTAACACTGAGTATCTTTGAAGTATGATGCATCCACCTTCCCTTTCCTGGCAGTGCTGAGTAAACTGACAAATTTGATCTTGGAGGTCTTTCCTTTAGGATCCATGAGACACTTTGGTTCACATATTATCTTTTCAAGAATGCCTATATCCTGATCTACACTATGGTTCCATTTGTTACAGGAAAGCTCCATACTTTTGTTTTTTAACCAGAAAGTATAATCATTTAAAGGCAGAAAAGTAAAATCATCTAAAGTAAAATCTACTATTCATTGTTAATATTTTAGTATCTTTCATTTTAGTCAGACTGCATGCATTTTTTTCTTTTCTTTTTTTTTGTACTAGGTTTCAAACTGAGGACTTAACACTGACCAGGCAGGTACTGTGCCACTGAGCTATATTCCCGCCCCTGCTTGCATTTTTATTAAAGCTCCTTAAGCTACTTTTTCATATAAAAAGTTATGTCTTCTTTTTTTACTTGGTGTATTATCATATGCATTCACTGATGGCATTAAAAGCTTACTGTAATGTTTTTAGGAAGACAGGCCTTTCTGTGAGAGGTGTCCCTCTGTAGCTGTAGGGGATATATTCCAAGATGTGTTGCAGGTGCTTGAGACTGTAGATAGTACCAACCCTACACAGCATATACTGATTTTTCCTACACATACATATCTTTGATAAAATTTAATTTAATGTATAAATTAGGCACATCAAGAAATAAACAACAATAAACTAGAACAATTTATATCAATTTGATGTAATAAAAGTTATTTTTAAAATGATTGTTTATGTCTGGAATATTTCGTTTGATATTTTCAGATCGTAGTTGACCATAAGTAAGTGAAACTAGGAAAAGAAATCATAGATTAGGCAGCATGACTGTATATATGTGCACTCTAACTTGCTTAACCAGTTCCTTGCTTTTGGATATAAAAATTTTTCATTTATTTAAATAAATAACAAGAAAGACTTTTGTGCGTGTGCATGTATGCGTGCATAAAACTCTGTACATATATCCCTGATTATGTTTCTAGATTTCTACAATTTCATTTCATATTTAGGTAACCCACTCTTTCTTTCTTTCTTTCCTTCTTTTTTTCTTTCTTTCCTTCTTTTTTTTCTTTCTTTCCTTCTCTTCCTTCCTTCCTTCCTTCCTTCCTTCCTTCCTTCCTTCCTTCCTTTCTTTCTTTCTTTCTTTCTTTCTTTCTTTCTTTCTTTCTTTCTTTCTTTCTCTCTCTCTCTTTCTTTTTTTTTTGTACCGGAGATCAAGCTTACAATCTCATGATCGCTGGACAGGCTCCTATATACTGAGCTAAGTCCCCAGCTGGTAGCCCTTTCTTTACAGGCATGTGCTGCCATACTAGCTGCCAGTGATATATATTTTTGACTCTACTATTTCTGCTGTATTTTGATGTAATTTATTTAGACAGCAAATTCCATCAATTGTGTTTTAATTGTCTAGATCACAAAAGCTAATTTACAAGTCCTAGGACACAGTGGAGGGCTGGCAGAAGGATACTTCACTGCCGTGTAACAGTTATAGCAGCAGTAACAGTGACATTATCAAATACCTTACAATTTAGCAAGCATTTTAGATTCTGTCATGTATAAGAAAGGTGACAGCAGGAAAATACGTAAAAAAATCTGAGCCATGAGACTCATGCCTTGCAGAGCAATATACATAAAATACTAGTGTAATATATGCAGAACATTATATTATCTATTATATAGAATGTAACAAATTTTTATTTTAAAGAGACTAAAACCTAACAAAATAAAACACAATAAAGCTGTTCAAAATAGTGAAGGTGGTGTAGAACTTCGAAACAGGATAATAGGGAACAACAATGGCTACCATAATATCTCTTGTTATCTTCATATTAGTTGCCCATACTGTCAGACATAGTAAAGTCAAATCAAATAAAACAATAAAACTAATCAAAACATAACATTAAATAAAGCAAAACAGTAAATCAGAATAAAACTAATTAGTGAGAACAATACTGGATTTCAAAAACAAGACAGAAGGCATTCCCACATATCTGCTATTTTTACATATTGTGAATGTAATAATTTTAAATATGATGATAAGTATAAATTTATGTTGGACCTTAACACTGGGGAGGTGTAAAGGAGTGTGTCAGGTTTTTGTAAAATCCTTACCTTTGCCTGTGTGGTTCTGAATGTACAATCATCTCAAAGAAATCTAAAGCTGGTAGGCTATCCCACCCTGAAAGACAAAGCAACCCCACAAAGCCACAGGAACATAGCTACTTACAAGTCCAGACCAAGAAAACCAGGAAACATACAGTATTTTTCTATGAAAACAGCAATCCAAATGTTTGACAGAGCTAAAATTTAGAAAAGAAAACACTACTATATATAGTTTTAGCTGACAACGGACAGTATAAATCATTGCCATAAAATCCATCAACTGAAAGCAGCTGTTCAAACAATTCTTCCCCTTCCCCCATCAAATACAAAGAAGAAAATGATACAAAGCTAGCTGATTTTTGTCTTTCGGTGATTATTTCATCAAGATTAAAAGTATATGGTAAATGTATTTACCTTTCAAGAAAACCTCTGGAGATACGATGTAGTTGTCTAAGACTGAATTTTTCACTTCCGTTATGGGTCGTGTTTTCCAGAAATGATGAAATAAAGATTTCTATCATGGCTGCAGCCACCATCAAGTCATGTGTTGCAAAGATATTGTTGAGGCTGGAAGGTGAACTTCCTCTTTGAGGTCAATGCTATTTAAAAAAATCCTACAAGCGGTGAGAACTTTTGGACTCTGACATATGAACACCAAGTAAGGGGACAGGACAAATTGATTTCTAATAGTTTATTATTTACTTAACTACACTACCAGATGTTGTGAGAAATGTATTGTTAGTGCATTTTATTATATAAACTTCAGGGTGTATTTATACAGCCTAGATGGTTTACATTAATCACTCCATGGCCTCCTGGGGTTGTCATATGATGCCATATATAGATGTATAAGGCTGCTGCCAGTGTAATATGGCACTTGTTTCACAGTAAACTATTTTTTCAAGAAGGAATATACTCTAAAATCATAATCAAATTGTAGTATAGCAAGTACATAAACCTGTATCATTATCAAGTATTATGCATTGACTCATAATTGTATGGGCTGTTCAACTGGCAGGACAGTAGGTTTACACTAGCCATGTCACAAATGTAATATTTTTCATTGTGATGTTAAAATAGTTATCATGTTAGAAGTTGATAGGCATTTCGCAGCTTTATTATAATCACATGCAACCACCATTATATATGTGGTCCACCATTGATCCAAACTATCATTGCATGGACTATATTTAAAGACAATAAAATAAGCCACTACTAAAGGTTTCTTGATTGGTACATAACATGATAAGTTTTCTTACAGTCTACATTTATCATGTTATGTACCAATCAACTAAATTCAGAGGGAGGGAAAATTCAGAAGCAATAGATCATTCAAAATTCCTGTGCCAGAAAGGAGAGTATTAAGTAAGATGACCAAAAACAGACAACTCCCCAAATACAGTGTGATAAGCAAGGAAGTATGTGAGGGGCCACTGGGATGGGGGTTTAGAGATGTGGAATATAGTTAAGATGAGGTTGAAAAGGTAGGACAGAGGCCAGTCCTTCGAAGCTTTTCCTGCTTCCCTGAGACCCAGGAATACACGGATCCTGTTCCTTCCCAGCACATGTAATTACAATTTACCACTTTCATATGGTAACAGCTTCCTTTACTAGTCTGAAAATTCCATGATGGCAGGAAAAGGTCATTTTTCCCCATGTAACGTTGTCAAGGCTGAAAAATGTCCAATAAAACTCTTTGAAGGAGTAGAAAATGAATTCTCAGTCACTGAGATGCAAATGCTTAAGTAATCATTGCCTCATCGTGCTATTTTGTTTCGCATATCCAGGTCCCAAGTCTCTGTCCTCCAGTCTTACCTCAGCTGAGGTTTCCTACCATTCCTATTGTCCACACACTTACTTATGGATACCTAGAATATTGGCATCACTTCTACCTTATTTCTTTGTCACATTTTTATACCTACAATTTATCTTTGAGGAGATAGTGTTTGAGTTGGGTCTTTAAAGATCACATTTTTCTAAGGCAGGCAGAAGAAAACATGTTCCAAGCAGGATGGCATGAGCAAATGCTTGCTTTGTCCTGCTGGTCATGTTTAGGGAAATTAAGTATCTCACTATAATTAGTACTACGGAGAATGGGTGTGGAGTGCGGGTGGAGACCGCAAGAGGAATGGGTGGAGAAGAAGTGGGGAACTAGGTAAAGATGCTACATCTGGGTGATGAGCATTGCTGCTCTCTTGCCCGAGCAGCCCACCAGGGTTATAACTCAGTCCCAATAAATAAATTAGAGGGACAAAGTTTAACAAAAGGCAGACACTTTATTTTTAAAGAGGAAAAGGAGTGGGGAGAATGGAGACGATAGACAGGTACCCTGCTAAGACTCAGGGTCAGAGGTTCCAGAAAGATGGAAGGATCCCCACATTCTCACCCATTTTTATGGTAGTGGGAGGGATGGGTCTAGGAGTGGGTGATAGCTCTTTCCCCTCCACCTGGAACTTGCCATAACTGGATTTGTGTAACATCTTTTCTGGTGGTCTGTGTGTAGCTTTTTTCTGTTTCTCTTTGTCTTTTAAGGCTGTATCTTTGGGGTGGGTGGCTAGCTGACAAAGGGGTGACCTACTCTTGGTTATTTAAGAGTTAGTAAGGGAGGAGTTCTGAAGATGGCGGCTTGATAGGTAGCAGGGTAGAGAGTCTCTCTAAGGAAAAACAACTCTTAAAAATAAGAAGGAGCCAGGAAGTAACAATACAAAGGCTAGAAGACGATAAGAGGATCTATCACTTAAGAATAAAAAATGTGAGCGAAGAAGCAGGAGTAAACACAAATGAATTACAAAGGCTATTCACAGAAATAATTAAGGAAAACTTCCCAAGCATAGGAAAAAGAAATATAATCCAGATAAATGAGGCATACAGAACTCCAGCCAACTACAACCAAAACAGATCTACACCCAGACATGTAATAATCAAGACCCCAGAAATTCACAACAACAGAATATTAAAAGCAGTTACAGAAAGGAAACATCACCTATAAAGGAAGACCCATCAAAATAATAACAGACTTCTCAACACAAACTATCAAATCAAGAAGAGCTTGGACTGAAGTAGTCCAAGCTCTGAAAGAAAATAACCTCCAACTCAGATTGATGTACTCTGAAAAACTCTTCTCTCAAAATTAATGGAGAAACAAGATGTTTTCATGACAAGGAGGAACTGTGAGAGTTTATGACCACCAATCCAGCCTTACAAAAAATACGGACATTCTAGAGAGAGATAGAATAAAATATCAGGATTCCAGCAACAGTGGCAGAGAGGCCTCAATGAACAGGGCAGACAGTGGAATGAAGGAGAAAAGTGGACAAATAATAGCAGAAAAATAGAATAGCAGAGATGAGGCAGAGAAGGTAGGCTATAATCTCTAATATAGATAGCCTTGATACACTAACAAAAAGACTGGCAGAGTAGATCAGGAGATAGGATCCATTGAGATACTCTGAATAGGAAATATACTCAACCTGAAAGAGGGTTAATAAACTGAAAGTCAAAGATGAGAAAATGATGCTCTATGTGACAAAGAACCAGAGAGAAATAGGGACAACTCGTCCAGCAGCTGCAGATAGTTTGGAAAGTCATGACCCTTTTGTGCAGTGGAGAACTACTCAGCTAGAAGGAAGGGAAACCTTGAGGCTTTAGTAAGTAAAGGAATACAGCTCAAGATCAAGCTCAGGGATAAAAAGGTTCAGCACCACTTAGGTAGATAATGGGTTGCCCCCCTAATCTAAAAACTAAAGGAATTAGTGGGACCCAAAATATACAAAGCACCCTGAGAATGGAAAAGGGGAGGAACTATCTAAAAAAGGAAGGCAGAGGACATTGTTAATAGTGTATCAGCATTTAAAAGCTACATTAGTCTTATCACTCTGTTTAGTTTGATTTTATTTTGTTCCAGTCTGTCTACTCATACTAGATTCGAGGGCACAGAGAGCTATCCCAAAAATAGCAGGATATACTATGATAACTATCCTTAATTTCCTGTTAAATTAAACTGCAGCCCTATATTACTTACATTGTCTTACTATGACTGATCTTATTTGAATCTGATTTGTTAGACTGCTGTTTTGTCTTGACTGCTTTTATTTGAATTTGGTATGCTTGATAGTATCAAGTTTAAGAGTAGAGGTAACTACTCTGAAGATGACAAGATGCAATAAGATAACCATTCTGGTTTGATTATTAACTGCTTTTGAAGTCCTACAATGTTTCCAATGTTATGTTTTTATTAAAATTAACAAGAGACAGTAGTAACTACTGTAGTAGTTACTACTGTAGATCACCTAATATTGTGGTTTTGTACTTTTCATTTCATGTTTTTCTAGGAATTTGTTTTTTGTCTTGTCTTGATCTGTTTTTCCCTGTAATACAGAAAGGATAGGTATACATGTAGAGATTCATACATGTTTGAATTTCTAAACAGTTTACGGGAACAGATTATATAATGCACAATGTAATGAACAGATACTCTGAAGAAGAGACACTAAGATACCCAGTACTAATTGTGTAGCATTATGATATAAAATCTAGCAATACTATTATTCACTGTTCAGAGTGATATTAGTCTACTCTTATGTTTGATTTCAACATATGTAAAGATATAGACAGCTATTTCAAAGAGAACGAGAGACATTATGGCAGCCATTGTTGACTTCCCTAAAAAGCCTTCATCATCCTGTTCTTATTGGTTTAGTACTATAATATTCAGTATGTATTCACTGTGTGTGAAGATGTGGACAACTATTTGGAAGAAAACAAGAGACAAATATGATAGACAGTGAAGATCTCCAGTGGTCTTGCTTTGAAATCCATGTTTCTTAAAATTGTTTCCTTATGATCTGTTTAATTTTATCCTCTTTAAAAAAAAAAGCAAGGGAGCATGTGGATATGCTTACTCTATGTCACTGTTGTAAATAATATAGTGACCTTAGAGTGAACACTCAGTTATATACGTTATATATGCTAGTATGTAGTAAATACTGCCTTACGGTTAGTCTGCTCCAGTTTGTTTCTCCTGTATTTTATTGAAGGGCTTATCATTTGTTGACCTTTTTCTATGCCGTTAGCTCGTTTTTCTGGTTTCTTGTCCTAAGGCCATTTGGTGCACACTGCGTGCTTTCTCTTTCCTCCTTTCTGTGTTTGACTTGTTTTCTTAGGGAATTTTATCTAGTAAATTTTTTAAAAATAAAGTTTATTTTGAACTCCTATCGTCAGGATTAGCTAGAAGACCTAAAAGAGTCCCTGTTGTTTTTTCTCATCTACAGATCCCTGTCTCTACAAAAAACAGACCCTAATCTCACTTTGTTACAGGAAATGGAGGCTGCTGAGAGGAGTGACCAAATTACATTTGGACTTAAAAACGGGGAGACTGGTAGGGTACGAGACAATGGAGTATTGCAGAGTTCCAGGGAAGACACAAAGGTGATCTGCACTGAGGCCTTAGCCACAGTGGAGAGATAGGGCAGACAGAAGAAAGGGGCTTAGGGTAACTACCTAGGGTAACCAATTTACTGAACTGTGTTCATTGACTAATATTTAGGATATAGAAGAGGGGTGTAGAGTTGAACATAGAGAAAGTTTGGACATGTTGAGTTTGAGATGTCTATGGAACATTCAGGCAGAAGTGTGGAGGGAAGTTAGATGCAAGACTGGGACTCTTGAAAGAGATCTAAATTTGTGTGGTAGACAGAACTCTCACCCATAAACCCTTCTTTCCTTTGGGAATGATCATTCCTTATAGTTGAGTAATGCCATGTAATAAGTTCTTAACAATGGACTATGAAGTGATGTATGTCCCTTTCAGTTGAAGCATTTAATTACTGATGCAAGATTCCCCTGACCTCTTCACAGGGCAACTGAGGAGAACCTGTAATGAGGTAAGGTTGACATAGCTCTAACATTGGACCATTGAGTCACCCACCATATTGAGGACAGTTTCTCTAGAGTCTAGACCTACAGAAGCCTCTTTATGGGCAAACAAAGCAATGCACACATATGGAACACACACACACACACAAGCGCACTTAATATTAAACTGCCGACATATACATAACTTACCTCAATTGACTAGTTAATTTGAGATACAGAATAGGAGGTCATCAGTGTAAACGTGATAGAAGCCCTGAACATGAATAGGATCATCCAGGTATAGCATATGGAAGGAGAATAAAATTCCTAGGACACAACTTTGAGGATTAGTAATACTTAACAGGAAGGCAAAGTGGGTGTGGTGGCATACACCTGCAACCCCAGTACTTGGGAGGCTGAGGCAGGAGGATGACTATGCATTCAAGACCAGCCTAGTCTACATAAGCAAGTTCAAGGCTGGCCTGAACTGCACAGCAAGGCCTCGTCTCAAAAAAGGGCAGGGAAAACAGTTTAGCAGCACAAGTACCTGAGAAGTACAAGGTCTTGTTTGATTCCTAGTACCAAACCAAAGAAAAACCAAAAAAACACACACACCAAAAAGGGAGGCACATAAAGTGGGGTGAGCTAAGGAAACTGAGAAGAAACATATCAGCAGACAAGAACATATTCTATTGAAAGCCAGAGGAGAAAAGGAAGAAAAAAAAATATCAAGTGTTAGTCAAGTAAGATGAAGACCAAAAAGCAACTTGCATTTGGAATTAAGATCCTACAATTTTCTTGCCAGAGCTGCTTACTGTATGGTAATGCTGGGGACCTCAAGTTCTTTTCATAAACTGTTCTTTTTGACAATCAAACTGTTCTTTTTGACTATCTTTTGGATATGAATTTAAATGTATTATTTTGGAGGGTTTTCATGAACTCCTGTATTAGACTGAGTTCATTTTTTACATGTGTCCACTACTCCACAATTTTAATATTAGGAATTTACACTCAATGTTGTCATTGCTGGAATTTATATTCAATGTCATGATTGACTGTATTCAAGGTCATACTTGGTGTTTTCTACAAAATTTTGCTGATTTCCACATTTTATACATCTCCCTAAATCTCATCTGAAGTGAGAGATTTCTTGTTTTTCTTCTCCTCCACAGACAAGATCTCTTGCTGCTAAGAAACAATAACCCATAATCCCAGTGAGAAGAATCATTGGCTCAGTTGTGATCACGAGATGTTCAGTGTGAGGTCCTACTCATGTTGCAAAACTTGATTATCTATTTAAAATTTATTAGAATGTTTGCTCATCTTGCAGAACATTCACAGAACAAGTTACTTGCAATCCAAGGATTTATGGTACTGTGATTAATGCAGCTCTGAATATGTACCAGTCTCTTCACAGCTCTTTCAATGTTTCTTTGAGACAGATTCTTGTTATGCTGTCCAGACTGGCCTCAAAGAATCTTCCAGCCTCAGCTAGTAACCAAGTTGTATAATACAACCTGGCTTCCCTTTCAATTCTTTGAGTATATACCCAGATGTGAAGTTGTTAGACCACACTTTTAACTGTGCTTATCTTTTTGAGGAACTTCCCTATTTTTCTATTGGCTTTTTCACTTTATTTCCTAACAGTATAGAAGGATTTCCACTCATCCACATTCTCACTAACACTTGTTATTTTCTTGGAATTTTTTCACTGTTTTGTTTGAATAAGCCCCACAGCTGAGTTTGTGTGGCTTCCTTTATTTTTATGGCATTAGGGACTAAAATCAGGGCTGCACATATGCTAAGCAAGTGCTCTTCCACTAAGTTACATATCTAATTTGTTTCTGAGTTTTCTAGTCAGTTATCTAGTCTGTTCACAGTTATATGCTGGATTGATTTTAAAGTGATTTTATGACAGTCTAATATTTTCTACAGGCATAGTACTAAAATTATAACAGTAAATGAAGATTTGATATACACAATATTTCCTTTGGTTATTTTAAAGAATACATACTTAAAAAGCTTTAAATTTTTCATAACCCATCAGCTATAAATAACTCACCATAGAATGGTCTCATAAACAAGGTATCTCCAGAACATAACAGTTTTTACTTTTACTCATGACAAATACTGAAATGTTACTTCAGAGAATTATGGAACTTGAAAAACACTGTTTCAATTGTCCTTTATTGCAAGATCATAGAACTAATTACAAATTTAACCTGGAACTTGGTAAACTTTAGTCAGGTAATAAGTTTTAATAAAAACAAAGTGTTTATTTAAAAATGATCACAGAACAACTCAAAATGCAAAGTAAGGATGAGAAACATCTGACTGACCAACATAGTTAGGTCTCACTTAATGAAATCCCAAGCTTTTCATTTTTAGGAAAAGTAAAACTGTAATTTTAGTATACAACAATATGGGAAGGTTTTGTTATACAGACTAGTTTCCATTTAGTCAACTGTTTCTGGCTGTCTCAACTGGGATAGATACATTTACATAATGGGCTGTGCTTGAGCCTTCTTTGCAAGCAGCTTTAGATCTGCAATACACTTGGCAATTGTCTCCTTCTCCTGTGGTAAGGAAAGAAATCTGGTTAGATTCTTCTACAACAATGAAGAATAAGTATGATAAATATAATTCTACATGATATATAATGTATATAATATATATATCATATTTATAAAAGATAACTCCTACTAGAACAGAACCTCAAGATGATATTGGCTTAACATGCCTTAATATGTAAGATTACTGGAGAAGTCTGGAAGAAAAATTATTTAACAGAGAGAGACGCAATTTACCATACAAGCAAATCCAGGGAGTTAAAATTCCCTGGCTCACAGCTGTCATGAATGAAATTGGGTGGATACTTCTATAATCATCTGTTCTTGCTGTTGGTTTATACAGCTAACAAATTCTTGAAATAAATTAACTAAACAAAGATTAGGAATACAGAAATATTGGCATTTTCCAAGTTACTTCAATAACTTGGAAAGTATATATTATTTTTGTGTAAACAGTTAAGTAAAAACAATCCATCCAGTTTTGGCAAACTCTGTTTTTGTAATGCTGAATAGGTTATATAGAAAATGCTAACAAATGCCTCAATAGGCTATGTATCTGGGACAGAAAAAATTTAGTCATAAATAAATAAACAGAAGTTTAGAAAATAGTTTAAGCAAGTAATAGAAAACATTTCTGTTCAAGAAGATGAATTAAAGAAGTTGGAAAGAGGACACAGAATGCAGCTCATGGGATGGGAAATGGACGAGGCTCATTTTGCTTTATATAGAAATATATGGATTAGTATTAACCAACTGATGGAATACGAACACAGGCCAATGACTTTTATACTGTTTTGACATATGCAGTAAGAAATTCTTTATTAACTGAACTCTGATGAAAACAGAAAGCTTTCAGAGCATCTATTTGAGTAGTGTCTTTTAAGATAAACATCCAAAAATAGTCACCTTGCCATTTCTAAGCTAAAGATTCTTAGTTATTCCTCCCTTCCAAAGCAGTAGCAGACACTTGTCCGACATACCAGTACACTTCAGAAGCTACAAAACACTGTGTACCTGCTGTGCAGAGATGCTCTGCACCACTTGCTTCTCCACCCAGCCTATCATGTGTTCTTGTTCCTTTCGCTGCATCATATTCTGCACAGAAATATGGTAGTCCAGGCGATTCTTTACTTCTTTATATACTCTATGCAGCCGTTCCCGGTAAGTAACCTCCAAGGCCATAGCAATATTATTCTGGGACAAAAATAAAAAATGATGAATACTCCTGCATATTTAAAGCAATACTTCTTTCTGTTCACAGGTTTTTCTCAGTTATAATGCCCTATTTCTTTTGTATTTCATTAGAAAATTCTTTTATTTAATCAGTTACAGTATTATATTAAGAAACTGTAACAGTATATGGTAAAAAACCTTACAGGTATAATTATTAAGAAATATGACTCCTCTAGTAACACTACTACTGTTACCATTTTCCTCGATTTCTTGTATTCTTTGACACAGAAGTGTAATAAACCTAATCATACATACATACATCTTTATTAATTATGATATGCAAGCCCACCTCAATTTTAAGTTATACAGAATTTCATTATATTGGTATTCTATAATTCATTTATCCAACTTTCAGTAACAGATTAGGTTAGTTCTAATTTTTCCTACTACAAACAATACTGTATACATTGTATACTTACTTCTGTGTATGCTTGTGTGCAAATATTTGCTTAAATAATAATACTGTTGTATGTGTTACTGTTATGGTTGATACACTGTGTCAAACTGAAAAGTTTGTAAGTTTAACTGAGAGACTCAACTAGGAGCCAGGGTTCCTTCTTTGTAAAATCCTCATCCTGTGCAAAGAAGGGCAAGATGTTTTTGAGTGCTGTATCTGCCCTGAAGGGGTAGGGCTGGGGGGATGGCCTGGGTACTATATAAGGGAGAAGAGGCCTGTTTACCCTCTTTTGCTCTGGCTGCTGCCTTGAACTGTTGCCCCAGTGCCATGCTACGCCGCCTTGGAGCCAGATGATTATGGACTGAAACTTCCCAAAACTGTAAGATAGATAAACCTTTCCTTCCTTAATTTTGGCTGTCAGATATTTTGTCCCAGCAGCGAGAGAAAAATAAAAATTACCAAGGCAGTTATCCATTTAATTAAATCTTATAACCACACTAAAGGACAGACATTATTATACTCATTTTACAGAGAGGAAACTGAGTCAGAAGTTCAGGAACTTTCTCAAGTTATAGAGCTAATAATAAATTAAGTCAAGATCTTAATGCTGGGAGCTGGGCTACAAAACCCATGCTCTTAAGGATCTCTGTCTGGCTAACTGAAAGGCATCTCACACTAATGCATACAATACTGAAGGTTACCCCTACAAAGTATTACAAGTGATTCTTTGAAACCTAAGTGAGATTACGTTACTCCTCTGCTTTCAGACGCCTCTAAGACAGCATTGGTAAACGTTTTTGTTTTTTTAAGAACAAAAGATGTTTTCTTTCTTTTCTTCTCGCCCTCTCCTTCTCCCTCTTTGGGTTTTTTGAAACAGGGCCTCCCTAAGCAGTTCAGGCTGGCCTCAAACTCAGTGATCCTCCTGACTTAGCCTCCCAAGTGCTGGGATTATAGGCCACTACCCCTAGCTCAAAAAATGTTAAAAGTTGTTTTTTCTAAACTGAAAGCTCAGTATTTAGGTTTAATTGGAATTTTGGCACTTACGATAAATAAGAGGGTTTTATGTTGCAGTTTGGCACCTGGTCTCTAAAACAACTTGCTATCACTGCTCTAAGACTATTCTTTCTTTTTTGAGACTGATTTTGCTATGCAACTTAGGTTGGCCTTGAGCTCACTATAGTGCAGGATGGTCTTGAACTAAATGGTGATCCTCCTGTCTCAGCCTTGCCAGTGTTGGCATTACAGGCATGCAACACTATGCCCAGCAAGATTTTACATTTTTCTAGCTACTGGCCACCTTCTTTACTTCCTTTTATTTTTTCCACATTCACTTTAGCTATGTAGTCTCTTGACTTCTCTTTAATTACAGCAACTAAATATATTTTTGCTTCTGTCTGGAATATTATTTCCCCAGAAATCCAATTTGCATCATCACTTCTTTTAGGGCTCTGCTTAAATTATTGCATGACAGGCCTTTCCAGACTACTCTATGAAACAGCAATTCCCTCATCTTGCAGTCTCTTGCTTTAACACCACTTTACTGTCTTTCCTAGCGCTTACTACCTTATCCATTGACATTCTCATCTTGACTAATCATTTTGTGTTCTTCACTCAGTGACTGACTAGAATGTAAACTCCATAAATGCAGAAATTTTGTTACTCTGCTATGTTTTTTAGTACCCTGCCTTGATCACACCATTCACAGAGGAAGAACTCAAGCCAAAATTTACATACTTGGCTGTGTTTGGGTGTATGTGTATGGAGTAAGCAAGCAGCATTGTTCAACTGTAACCTGAACATGGGTAGAAAGTTTTCAACATTTTCTGAGATTTTTAGAAGTTCACATGCTTAACATTCTTTATGAACCCTGTTTAAAAGAATGTACATTTTTAGACAGCACTTAGCAGTTTCTCATTCCATATGTCCTGGAATGGGTCTAAATACCAATTCTGATGCATGGAGTTCTGAGACTACACAAATAATAATGGCCTGGATTCTTAATATTTCAGATACTTACTTTTAGCATCACATTTTTCATTTTGAAGGCTATGGTATAAAATTTCAGGGTGAGAGCATCTTTTAAATATTAAGCACAGAACACTATACTCAAATAATGACAAAATATTTGAAGATATCACTAAATGTTTTAGAATTCATGCTTTGAACATAAGAAGCTCTCCTACTATTTGAATTTGCTTTGTGAATGTAAGATATTGGATTTAAAGTAAAATGTACTAAGCAAGGTTTTCTTCTTTTTTTTTTTTTTAATTTTAAAGAGAGGACAAAACTCCAAAATTTCAAAACAAATAGGAAGGTAACAATGGTTAATACACTACGCATTGTTATCTTTAGTTACTCAAAGTATACTATATCGACATTTAATTGTGCAAACAATATTAGCACAAACCTTTCTTTGATGAACTAAAAGAAATTAGTAGTATAACTCTTATACATACATATTTGTATTTTTTTTTTTTTTTTAAGCAAGACTTCCTTATAGCAAGTGTGTCTGAACTATAGAGTATAGCTGGTTGTGGTAATCCCATATCTTGGGAGGCTAAGGCAAGCTACATAAGCAAATTCAAGGTCATCAGGGACTATATAGTGAGATCTTGCTTCAAAAAACAAAACAAAACAAAACAACAAATACAAAGCCAAGTGTGGCAATGGATGCTGCTGGGAGGCTGAGGCAGGAGGATTTCAAGTAGTTCAAGGCCAGCTTACATATAGTAGTTCAGCCTGAACTGCAGAGTGAAATACTATTTCAAAAAACAACAAAGAAATACAGAATATACATTTCACCTTTGGCTTTTCTTAATGCATGCCATTTCTTAAACAGCTATAACTAGATGACTTACTTTTACATGGATCCAAAACATGTTTTTTTTAACAACTTCTAATATTTCTAATTTTAGAATATTTTTTTTCTACTTGACAGTTTTTTAAATGTCCCAATAGCTTTAATTGCCAACCTCTCCCCAAATCTTCTCTTTTCTGAATAAAATACAAGCAATCTAATCCTTCCTCATAAAAATTCTGATATTTCTTTTCTTTTTTTCTGTATTTTGTTTTTTGCAGAGCTGAAAACTAGTGAACCCAGAGCTTGGCACAGACTAGGCAAGTGTACTACCACTTAGGTACACTCTCAGTCCCTGACATTTTCTTTTGAAAAACACAAAATGAGTAACTTCATTCTCCTGAGCAACTACTAAAACCTACCCTCTGGACATCAAAAAGGTAGTGACGCTTCTGAACAAGTGCCTGCTGGGACTTCTCCAATTCAATAGCATCCTGGATTTGTTTTATGGAAGCTTGCTTTACCTCTTCTAGCTGGGCAATTTTTTCCTGTAAATAAAACAATAAAAGTCAGCAAAAACACCACGAGTAGTAAAAATACATTCATTTATGCATCCTCAAAATTATATTCTTTGTGAAGCATCCATAAAGATACACATACTGTATGAATCCTTACAAAGAACAGTCCATACAGCTATAAAACATCTTGAATAAAATATTATGGAAAAGCTAGAGTCTAGCTCATGCACAAAGATTTATCTCAAATTAGTAACTAACACTGACATAGCTGTAATCGTTATAATTAGATTCCTGTATGTGCTTTCTCTAACATTCATATCAAAACTATAATTATATGGCTTTGCTATTTCTGCTACAGTCTAAAATGTGAAATAAAATGTATGATTCTTACCTCATTGATTTTATCAATAAACTCTCCAATAGAGGCACCATATTTTTTAATTACATAGATAAGCAGCCCTACTACAGATATGGTAGAGAAGGTCTCTGGGCTAATCACATATATTTCTTTGGACAGACAATACAAGATAAGCCCAGTTCCAAGCATGTAGGGTCCTAAAAGAAGAAAAAGTTATAGTATGAATAGACATGCTATGCCTAAAAGGTGGAATACATAAGACACTTAGCTATTTCAAGACAAAGCTAAATAATTATTTGAAATAACCAGATACAAAGACAAAATATCAGACTGAAAACAATATGGTAGAGTTAAAAGAACTAAGATCCAGAGTCAAGGAAACTATCCTAACTCTACAATTTATAAGAAATAGTAATCGAAGTAATCTCTGAAATTAGTTTTCTCAAATGGGAACAGTATCTTCTTCAGAGTTGATGAAACTGAGAAATAATGTACTTACACAATAGCTCAATAAACAGAACTATTATACAAAGATGCCAGGTAACTTTCTGAAGTTACCTGCCTGGCAAAATATATTACTTATTAATTGGAAACATCGGAGAGGATTGTTCCACTGCTCGCCTATTTTTACTGATAGAAGCTGACATAGGAAACAAGCAAGAAAAAGTATTATGTAATACATATGTAAAAAGAAGGATTAAATATCAGAATTGTCAACTTCCACAGCCCTTAATTATAATGCTTCAAATATATGTACCATTTTTTTAAACAGGCCATGAGTCCCAAAGATACAAAGCATGATTTAAGATTTAGGATACAAACATTTCTTTAGGATTTTTCTATGTATCTCCTCAACAGAAGGCTAAAACACAGTAGACCTTTAGGGCATTTTACAATGTTTCTGAGTAACAAAGAATGTTAGGATATATTATGAAGTAAAACAACAACAGTCTCAAATATATTTTACATAGATTCTCTATACAAAGTCTCAATAGATACTCCCTTTTTTCTTTCTTTTTCTTTTTGTTTTTGAGACAAGGTCTTCCTAACACAGTGATCCTCCTACCTAGGCCTCTTGAGTATTGAGGTTACCACTGTGCACCACCACACTCAGCCCAACAGTTCTTTGTGAAACTGCCTTTAGTGTATACATTTAAAATATGAAACTGACAAGAAATCCTTATGGTATGTAATATTTTTTTATCATCTGTGAAGATGCAACGACACTGTCTTGCAATTTCAGTTAAGGAAAAACTGGAGGCTACCCTAGTATTTAAAAAAAATCTCTGATTTCCGGTATTCCATGGTTATAGCAAGGAAGGCAGTACAGGGCTGGGGATGTAGTTCAGTGATATAGCTTTTGCTGAGCATGCAAAAAGCCCTAGGCTCAATTCACAGTAATGAGAAATGAAAACAAAAACAGAAACAGGCAATGTGTGTAATAAACAGACTTCTAAACTTAAATCGGCCACAATGAAAAAGGTATTGTACTACATAGGATGTTAACTTAATCAGGGAGCTTAGGTGCAAGTCCAGTTCAGTAACTAGCAACATAACCCCACAATAGTATATACCACATAATGGCTCAAACAGTGCCTGCCACCAAAGAGGTATTAAAAAAAAACTTATCAATAGATGTAAACAATGTTATTAAGTTAAAATCTCCCCCAATTCACCCACAGACAAGACCAACCAAGTCAACTATTGTACTGAATCATTTCCACAATATCTTTTACAAATTGGCTGACTTTAGTGGAACCATCCAAATGTACTATTAAATAGAGCAGGCAACTCACCTGTTACACCAGTTTTAGGATAAAGGAACTGGAAGAATTCCTCAGGTATCAGCCCAAGACGAACTTTTCCACCATATTCAGGAAGAGGAGGTACAGGAGCAAATCTTGGCTGCCCTGTGTGAAAGACCCTTGTTGCCTGCACAACCCTATAGGTAACAATTGACACAAATTTTAGACCTTTTTCAAATAAAACACAATGCGTAAACAAATAGTGAAACGATGAATGATGATGAGGATTGCGACAGTTGTCCCTGCCATAATGAGAAAAGAATGGACTAGGAAATGGAAGGTGAGATGTGACAAGGCAATAACCTTAGTCACTCTCAAAGCCATATATACTCTTCTACTTACTTTTTACAAATCGCCTGTCTAGCACTTTATTTATAGCACTAAAATAGATGAAGCTTGCAGCAGAGTCTCTGGGTTAAAATCCTGGACCTGCCACTTAAAACTTTTCAGTATGGGAATACACCATATTACTTTGTAGGGTTGCTGTAAGGACTGAGCTAATGTAAGTCTTTTTAGAATGGTGCGTGGGATATAATATTCTATGTAAGTCGTTGACTATCACAAGCCTGTTGTATTGTAAGGCTTCTTTATCCCAATAACTTTGGCATTTTCATTATTCAGACTCAGTCCAAACTTAACTGTCCTCCAGGTTTCTGGGTACCAGGGATGAGTGGCCCACAAACAGGCTAGAAATGACTTCTCTGGGAGAGGCCCTTTCAAGAAGGGTCTACAATAGACTGTCCCAGCAAAAAAGTGAAGAAATGAGTGAGTTGTTTCACACCATGAGGTTTGGCAAGAGCTAGGCCCAAAGGCCCCTACAAATCCTGCTGGCTAACGTGTTATCTGGGAGGCTCCTCTGGGATAGCATGACACTCCACATACTCTATTGTGGGTTCAAATCACCTGGCGTGGAAGATTTCACTGGGCTCTTTGTTGTAGTGAGCAATGTGTTGATTATTTGGATGATCAAACTGAATTGCACTCTGGAGACCACACATCACATTCTCTATTTCATTGTCTCCCTGGCCCTGGTTGATACTGCAGTTGGGCTGCTGGTTATACCTTTGCCCACCGTCTTCAGCCTGAACATCTCAATATACTTCTACAACTGCCTTTTTATGTGCTGCTCATTTTGACCTCTATTATGTCCTCTGGCCACTGCTGTGAGCTACAACCCCAGTCTCATCTATCTTTTGAATATTATTTATGCTTTTCAGTATATCACTTATGTGAAGCTTTAAAATTGAAAGGCACGCTTAAGATCTCTTCACCTCATTTCTCAGCCTCAGCACTAATGACATTCTAGACTGGACAACTGTGTATTACACAAGATTGTTCTATGCATAATGTTTAGTGTATTCCTGTGGTCTTTATACACTAGATGCTAACAGGACCCTGCTCCTCTGTGGTGACAACATTGCCAAATGTCACCTGGGAGTCTAAACTGCCCATGTTAAAAACCACTGATTTCAATCCCAGCACTACAGAACTTGCTTTAAGCTGATACAAATCTTCTTCCCAGCTGGTTTAGTTGACACCTTAATTGTTGCTTTCCTAAACTTGGCTAACAATCCAAAACTTGATTGCCCTGCTTCTTGTCAAGTACCCCTTAAACCTAGCCTCTTCATATTATTGCCAATGTTTCTAAAAATGTGATTTTGACTTGGTAACTCTTTAAAAGGCTTTCTCCTGCCTCCAGAAAACAAACTACTTAACATACTCAGCTGAGAACCCATCACATCTTATGACCTGTTCCTTCATTCTACTTCCACCCATATGGACGTGCCTATTTCTCTCAAAACTAAAAACTTGCTCTACACTGTTCCTTCTGCCTGACATGTCCTTCAGTTAATGACTGCCAAGTCCAATCAGTCTTCAGAACATTTCAGGCACATCTTATATAAAGGTGTCCCTAACTTTGGACTAACATTTAACCAACAACACATCTGATTTTTTACTTATGTGAGGCACTAGGAACATAGCAGTGAACAAAGTCCGCCTCATGGTGGCTGTGAGAAGGGTATGTCCATACAAAGTTTCACATGCTGTAAGTGCTATGAGTAACAATGGGACAGGAAGGCCTTTGGTAGACTAGGTGACATTTGAGCCAATGATTTGGAGCAAATATAAAAGGAAAATGAGCTAAACATAGAAGGAAATGGACGAGAGGAAGGATGGATCAATTCTTGTTATCTGTGTTAACGCTGTTTGGGTTTTTTTCAAGAAGAATGGGGGCTCTGAAGGTTTTAGGTAGAGACTGACATAATTCCTTTGGCTACTGTGAAACTGTGCTCTGCTATGACAAGACTAGTCATGAGACCACTGGAACAGCTTAGGTGAAAGTTGATGGTGTTTTCATTATAGTAGTGATGGTAGGGGAAGTGATGAGAATCAAAATAATCTGGAGGAGGAGCCTTGCTGATGTACTGGAGATGAGAGTGTAAAGAAAATCAAACATGTTCCTTGTGTCTTCCCTTTATTGTTAGACCCTTTATTACTCTTAACACAATTTTTAATGTTTGTATGGAGTTTTTCTCTGATAAGTTGGAAGTAGCCAATTATTGTCTCACTGTACTGCACATATCAGTATGCATAAATTATAACCATCTTTTAAGGTATAAGCCTAAATTTGGAATTACAAGAAGAAATCTCCAAGAAAAATAACATGTTTTATGGCTACAGATATAGCTCAGTGCACAAGCACCTGTCTGGTAAGCATGAGGTCATGAGTTTGATCTCTGGTAAGACATATTTTATAAAACTATTTTATCAGTTGCTAATATGCACGGAGTCAGTGGTGGTGAAACTTATGGAGGGCATGTTGTTTTTCTTTTAAGACAAAAGATGTTAATGCATAGTTGTTTTTTCCAAACTAAAATCTCAATATTCAGATTTAATTACAGTGTTGGCACTTGGCAATAAGTGGGTTTTGGGTGGCAATTTGGGCACTTGTCTCTGAAAGGTTCACAATCACTATACTAAGTACAGACTATGTACCACACATTGTGTTATTCCCCCACAGGAGTTAGGGTTTTTAATTCTGATAACTCATAACATACTATAGTGGAAGATACTTTAGTTAGCTCTTGAGTAAAGCAGCTGGCTAGTAAAGGCCCTGAGATAGAGTGGGGTGACGGGCATACTCATAAAAACTCAGGAAAGTGAACTAGTGCTTTGGACAAAGAATGAATTTCCTTAGGTAGTGCGGAATGCAACCTACTCCCTAATATCCTGAAGGAAGGTGCAGCCACTCCCCACTAACAGCCCGAATTTGGAGAAATTTATAATGCAAATTAGTCCATTTCTTTAGAGATCCCAGTTTACTGTAAATGCTGAGTGAAGAACTAGACTAGAACTGAACTAGAGAGCCTGAGTCCCAATTGACCATTTTAAATCCAGAGTCTGTGATAGGTGGCCACTAAATAGTTAAGCAATTTCTGTACCCACTTGCCTATAAGTAATTCTAAATTGCAGGGCCGTATGGCAATGCACTCAGGACTCCTCCTGTCTTTCAAGAGCTATTCCTATTTCCAAGAAACTTTTCCTACTCTTAACCACCTTTGCCTCTTGCAATTGTTCCACTTTAGGAACCTGAAATCAGGATATCTAGCAGGTTGGAAGTTGTATTTTCTCTTGTATCATTATCATCTTTATTTTGGAGAGGAAAATGAGGTCACAAGCTAGCAAAGAGTCAGGTGTATCCTACCTTTGGAGACCTCACTGTAAACCACTACTCTGTAGCTGATTCTATGCCTAGATCGAATTTGAACTCCTGAAGGCACTCAGCCTTACTCACATTTGTGGTTATGAGAATGGTAAGAAAAATAACTACAGAAATCAATAAATGATCTGACTATCATGACCTGGCAGGAAAGGTAAGAATACACGAGACATTGAAACAACATGCTTCACTGCTTTATTTAACAAAACCTTTAGTTTATAACTTAGTAACTAGCTGTGGCAGCTATGTGTAGCTGAAGGTCAGAAGGGTGGGGGCGGGGCTTAGAAGACAGCAAAGCTAGTTTCTAGTTTAGTAGTGCAATTCTCTTACATCTTTGTCTTTAGACGATACGAGGATGCTACTGGCAGTTACAGGAAGAAATGTTTGAGGCTTTAAGCATTCTCAAATTATGAAAGGTAACTTTTAGTCTAAAGCTAAGAATAGAAATTAAGAAATGAAATGATGTGCAAAACCAAAGGGAACATTGCACTCCACACTTACCCTGGTCCTAGGAGGGCTGCGTTCTTCAGACAGGGTGCTGCAGATATACAACACGCAGATCAGCAAAGTCAAGGCAAAATCTAGTCTGTCCCTTCCTCTGTCGCCGCAGAGTACGACTCTTAATGCCATGCAACATTCTTTCCCCGTTCCCCTATATCCCTTTTTGTTTTCAGACGAACAGGTCACTCACCACCCAGGCACAAAATTCACAGGCCGCCAGGGGCACAAAGGAGGTGGGGTTTCCTTTCGCATCTCCACCGCTCCAAATCTCACCTAATCTCAAACTACACAAGCTCCCACTCTTTGTATCCCCTAGATTCGCTTGTTTCCAATCACTTTCATTTCCTCGACCAGGGTCTACACCACTCACCCGCTGTGGCGGCAGCAGAAAGTACTACCCGGGACAACATGGTCAACAAAGGTCCAGGAACCGGTCTTGGCGTCCCTGTGACCCCGACCTGAGACTTGTCAGGGGCAAGAGCAAGATGGCCGCTAACAAATCTCGCGAGAAGAGAACTTCGTACCATCATTCCCTTCAATTTTACTCCAGTTTTTTTCTTTCTCTCGCGAGAAGAGGCACAGACCGCTGAGAACTCACTAAAAGTGGCCCGCAAGCCGGAAGCGGGTTGGAAGCCTAGCAGAAATTCTCGCGAGAAGTAGAGTTAACATTGCCTTCCAAAAGGGGAGGAGGCACGGAGGTCTACCAGGTGGTAACGGCTGCTAGCTGAATCTGATCGGCGAGTAGTTTGAGATTAGGTGGGATTTGGAGCCGTGGAGATGCGGAAGGAAACGCCACCTCCTTTAGTGCCCCCGGCGGCCCGCGAATGGAACCTTCCTCCTAATGCGCCAGCCTGTATGGAACGACAGCTGGAGGCTGCACGATACCGGTCTGGTGAGCCGAGATTGGGGGCCTGGGAGGGATGCTCCCTCTCCCGACCCTGAGATTCCGCTTCCCAAGAGTGATTCTCGAGGCCTCCTCAATTCACGTGCCATTCTGACATCTGTCTCGCGTCGCCCAGCTGCCGGAATCCTGTCCCATGTCCCTGAGCTCAGATCCAGACCCGGCCCGCGTGCTGGTCTGTGCAGTTACCATAGAGACGAGTGCCACTCTCGCGCACTGACACTTTGTACTCTCTCTTAGATGGGGCACTTCTGCTCGGCGCCTCCAGCCTTAGTGGTCGTTGCTGGGCCGGTTCCCTTTGGCTTTTCAAAGACCCATGTGCTGCTCCCAATGAGGGCTTCTGCTCCGCTGGAGTCCAGACGGAGGCCGGAGTGGCTGACCTCACTTGGGTGGGGGACAGAGGTATTCTAGTGGCCTCTGATTCAGGTGAGTAACTTTCCCCTTCCCTTCCCGGTCCCCCTCCCCGGGAGGCTTGGTTACAGGTCGGACTGGGCTCAGTCTACAGTGTCTCATAATCAGTACTTCAAGGAGCTGAGAATGTTGTCAAGTAGTTGAGCAATGATTTGTGTCTAAATAATTGGAAAGGGTCACTGGGTTTCATGTGCTGAGATGATTGTGGAGACTTCATCCTTGTCCCCTGGGAAGTGATTTTCCATTGTTCTCTCACGGGAGCAGAATAATGGCTTTTGTAGTTTCATCTTTCATTGCTCTCTTAAAGTAGTTTTTTCCACATAATTGTCTAGACCGTTACTGTCATACAGTAAGGTTGTATTAAAACCAGGTAGCCTGGAAGTTAGCTAAACTCCCTAACGTTGTGAGTTTCCCTTTTATATGAATAACTTACTTTGTTAGTTTAGTGGCAATGGTTGCATGAGTTTTAGGAGTAAATTACTACCTTGATATAATCTAAGTTCACATTTCTCTTATTCCTTCATTTCATCCCCAACAGGTGCTGTCGAATTGTGGGAGTTGGATGAGAATGAGACACTTATTGTCAGCAAATTCTGCAAGTATGAGCATGATGACATTGTGTCTACAGTTGGTGTCCTGAGCTCTGGCACACAAGCTGTCAGTGGTAGCAAAGACTTCTGGTAGGACCTCGTTCTCATCATTTCTGTCCCTAGACTTTCTTTGGTTGTCCTTACTATCCTGTTAAGTAACATTTTAGGCCTATTATAAGAACTTCATGACTAATTATAGCATGTTACTGTGTTGCATTAGTAATTTGGCAATTCTTTGTAAATAGAACATAGCAGGAGTCCAGGAGCCAAAGACATGGGACATGCTGGTTAAAGGAAGTTCATCTTTGAACACATTTTTGTTGGTAGTGCAGGCCAAGATTAATTGTCTGTTTCCTCATTCTTTTTGCTTCTTAGTATCAAGATTTGGGACCTTACTCAGCAGATGGTACTAAACTCATACAGAGGTTAGTATTTCTTTTCAGTCCCCCCTTAGCTGTCTTGTTTTTATGCCCTTTAAACTTTGGATGTTAAGAGCAGCAGCTCCATATTTTGCCTGGAAGGTTTTCCTTTGTTTGTTTGTTTTTTGTTTTTCTAAGAACTATAGTCAGATTTCAATATCCACCCCTTCTCCTTGACTCAGTTTCTTATTTCTATTGATGCTCTCATACCTTCTTGGCTGTAGAGGACTTAAATGTTCCATCTTCTACTCCTGCTTTGCCACTGTAAGTTGGTCACCAACTTCTTTTTAGTCTCTTGGTTGATTAGTCATGTTCTTGTTCATTTCTAAGGCCTCATTCAATTTCATACTGTATCTCTCACATGTGACATTCATCTCTTCACTTATAATTTCTGACTCTTTTGGTCCTTCATTGGTTTCTTGGGGACTGCAGATTGAAATTTCATTGTCTTGTTTCAACATTCAGCCATTTTACAGTTGTTTCCTACTAGCTTACCATAGGTATAGTATATATTTGACCTCAAAAATAAAGCCTGAGACTTTAAATATACTTGACCCCTTGAATATTCACCTCCACTAAGTAAGCATCTGCAGTGATACCTCAGTTTATGAACTTGATTGCATGATTCTGTGTGTAGAGAGAATCAAATCAAGTTTCACCATGTTAGCATTGAACTTAATCATTGGATTTGATTCAGTTCTTGTCCAGTTTAGTTTGCTACGAGAAACATGAAAAGAATTGTTTGTTTTAGTGACTTTTCTTTGTTACTGAGGTAAAATACCTAACATCTACAAATTAAGGAAGAAAAGGCTTATTTTACTTCACAGTTTGTAGAGATTTCAGGTCATAATCTGGTGATTGCAAGGTAGGGTGGCATTTGGCAAAGGGGTAACTATTCATGGTAGTGGAACACAGCAGAACCAACAAGCAAGGGAAGGGAGGCAAGATTCTTTCTGTTTTCTATGTTGTATTCAGACTACGGTCCCTATGGCATGTGTAGCACTCACACCCTTAATTCTAGCCAGAACTATGCTAAACCAGAGGACTGATTACTGATCACATACTCTTAATCCTAGCATCACACACAGTAGATTCAGTCACCTCTGAAAAGGCCCCATGACCAAATGAGGCTTTAGGGGGACATCTAGACACAAGGCATAACAAAATATGTGAACTGAGGTGCCACAATGTGTTGCATACCTGTAATCTCAGGACACGGGAAGCTGAAGTAGGACCATCTTGAGTTAGAGGCCATCTGACAGTGTATATACAATGAAATTTTGGATCAAAAAATCAGAAAAGGAAAAGGTCTATTTTTCTGTATGTACTACCACTCTCTTCAGTATTCCTCATTGTGTTTGTCTTCATTAACAGTGTTAACAGTTTATTTTGATAGCAGCTCTTCATGTTAAAACTAGGGCCTTTTTGCTGAATTATATCCCCAACCCTTTATATTTCTTTCATTTTGAGACAGGGTTTTGGTGAGTTGCTCAAATTGGCTAGAACTCCTTATCTTCCTGCCTCAGCCTCACAGAGGACAGGGATTATAGACATGTACCGCTGAGCCTAGCTAGCTAGAATTTTAATGATTGTGTAGCTTTGAAAATGATATGTTGAGTGATCACTGATTTCTCAGTAGCTAAGTGCCTTTCCTTACTGTTTATAATTTCAAAGTGCATGACTCAGTTTGTACTAAAATAAAATCTATACATATTCTGAACCTTCAGGGTTACGTGCAAATTGTTAAACAGTAACATTAAAACATCAGTATGTAAAGTCTCCTATACTTGCTTTTATTTGTTAAACATGGACTTTCCCAGTTAATACCTTTTTGTTTTTGGTCTTTTTGGGACAGGGTCTCACTCTGCAGTTCAGGCTGGCCTTGAACACACTTATAGCCCAGGCTGGTCTCAAACTGTCAGCCGGCCTCTTGCATCAGCCTCTTGAGTGCTGGGATAACAGGAGTGTGCCACCATTCCTGGCTCACAGTTAATACTGTTTCCCAGCACTTTATTAGTTCCTTATTAGTTCTTTGTGTTTGTACCTTCTTCCCTAAACGGAATTCCAAATCCTCTAAGGGTAGGAATTAAGTGTTCTTCATCTTTTATATACTGCCATAATGCTTGTCTCAGTGTTTGCTGATTTCAAGTGCACAGTAAATTTTCTTAACTTACTATCCTTTCCTTTCCATGAGTTCTAGGGCAAGGAAAGAACTGTGGAAAATGGTTCAATCTTCATGGCAGGGCAGGAAAATCTGGGACAGGAAAATGTGGTTTGGAGACTGGGAAAATCTGATTAGAGATGGTTTTATAGCTTGTACTTAACATGTAACAGTGATCTACCTGTAAAAAATACATGTTGACCTCCTAAAAGACTTTGCAAGTTATGCGCCCCCCATACAGTTTTAAATTGCTATCCAAAGTATTTTAAATTTAAATAATTGTAAAGGTAATTTCTGGTATATCATTTATTGTACACTTAATACAAGCATATGTTTGTCAGAATTTTAGATTAGCAAAGTAAGTGCATTTATTCAAAATATCTATCAAGTAGCAGAAAACAATTTACACTGTTAAGCCAGTTGGCTAAGTTAAATTTTACTTTGTCAGAAAAAGTGTGACTTCACTTGTAAATTCAGATCTACTTGTTAGAGGTGTTCTTAGGACAACCTTCAATCAATTTTTAGTTCTTATTATTAGAAATAGATAATTCACATAGCCAGGCTTTTATTTTATTTGTTATTATATATATTTTTTCTTTTTGAGGCGAGGTCTCACCAGGTACTGTAAGCTGGCCTTGAACTTGCTAATATAGTCCAGGGTAGCCTTGAACTCACAGCAACCTTCCTGCCACAGCCTCCTGAGTGCTGGGATTATGGGCACTAGCCACCATGCCTGGCCTAGGCTTTTATTTTTGATGTAACTCAAAGAAGGGTAATTTTCTTACTGAATTTTACCTGGAAATTCTTTGTCTTTAGGGAAAAGCTTGTTTTGTCCCTTTGTTTGACCTCTTAGATTTTTATGTGCCCGAACACTGTGCCATGGGAAGATCTGGGCTGGTGTATGAAGTAGGAGATGGGTGTTTATGAAAGCAGAGGCAGATCAATCGTAGGAAAGAGATGTTAGAAAAATCTATTTGCTTAAAACTCAGTGCCAAGAGCTTTTCAGAAGTTTTTGTATACTAGCAGATATATATACTCCAGTATGAAAACTGCTCTTCTATAATATTATGTAACTGCTGCATCTCATATATCTTAACTGCAAATTCATTCCTTCACTGTTACTACTAATTTCTCCTTCATTGTCTTTATTAATTCTTTTCTCCCAAGCTTTTTTTTAGATTTTTATAGGTCTATCAGCCTTTCCTCATAGATTTAATTTATAACCTCTCATAAAGTTTGTTCAATGACACCAAGAAACTAGGCCTGTTTCTCACAGTCATCCTCTTGCCCCTTGATTTTATATCTAGGTTTGCCTTGTAATGTTCTCAGCCTCCCTTCTGTTATATTTCTTCCTCCTCTACAGCTCATGCAGGGCAGGTTACCTGTGTTGCTGCTTCTCCCCACAAGGACTCCATGTTTCTTTCATGCAGTGAGGTGAGATACAGCTTCTTCCCCAATCACGGCGGGAACCTATAGGCCAAAATTTGTGGTTTGGAGACCTGCTGTCAGTGGCTCTTTAGAGTTTCTTCTGTTCTTCCTTTTAGGATAGTAGAATTTTACTCTGGGATACCCGATGTCCCAAGCCAGCGTCACAGATGGGTGAGTCTGAGAGCCAGTGGTGGGAGGGTAGTACTAAGAACCCACCTGGAAGAGTCTTTCTTTGGCCACAGTCAAAGCAGAGTTGCCAGGTGCTCAGTACCGACAAAAGTGACATAATTTGTGTAATGAGTACCAAAAAGAAGGGCTGGGTTAGCACTTTATTTTGGAAAGCAGGGAAAAAGGGGTAGAATTATTGTTTCATGTATCGTACTTGAAACGTGCCTGTGATATGTGCTTAGAAGGGCAGGGGGCTGATGGATAAATATATTTATGAAGTTTAAGGATGAGGATACGACTGCTTTTACAGAGTTTGAGGAACTGAATAAAGGTGCTCCCTGGGTTTAGATTGACGTCATTTGAGGAACTACTCTTAATTTTTGTTTCAAACCTCCCTTCTGTCCTTTGTAGGCTGCAATGCCTCTGGCTACCTTCCTACCTCCCTGGCTTGGCATCCTCAGCAAAATGAAGTCTTTGTCTTTGGTAAGGCAGCATGGCAGTTTGCATATTGACTCTGGGAAGAGGGAGGATGAGAGGGAAAGAACAAATTCCATGGTATGCTGTATTTGCTACTCAATCTTGTCAGCGCAATTGAGCGCTAAATGAATTATGCTAGTTTTAGTTTGGCTTTGGAGAACTTGACTTTTTCCCCAATGTATGCGATTTCGGGTTGTTCCAGCTTCCCTATTCTGAGCATGGCTAGAAATCAGTGAGCCACAAAGTCAGTAATTTGTTACATGGAGAACTCTGCTCTACTTTGGGTAGATGTGATGCCATGGAAGTAAAGAAGCTGTGCACATGGTTACAGTTTGTGGTTGAAATCAGTACTGCTTCATTCATTAATTTTCATAGCTACCCAGTGATGTTTTGTTCCTGCTTTGCAAAAAAGGAAACTGATGCTCAGTGATTAATTTGTCCAAGCAGTAGAAACTGAGTTTTAAATCCAGGTTTGGCTAACACCATAGCCCATGATATTAACCACTGTGACATGTCCTTTTTTCTTTTTCTATAGGTGATGAAAATGGGACTGTGTCTCTTGTGGATATCAAGAGTGCAAGTTGTGCCCTCAGCTCAGCTGTGCACACACAGTGTGTCACCAGACTGGTGTTCTCCCCACACAGGTAGTGTTCTTTGTCAACAGGACCCTAAAGATGAGAGTGGGCACAATGAGGGCCATGCATATTTTGGCAAAGCATTAGCTGATCAAGTTTGTTCCTTAAGGCAGGCAGCCAGTACATCAGCTGCTCTGAGTTCTGAGCCAGCAGGGTTCCCTTGAGTCTCATCCTTACTTGAGTTGTACAGTCATTCCAAAGATGGCCGAAATGTGGTCTCATTTCTGCTCAGTACCCAAAATGAGTAATACTGTGGGTTTTAAGGGTGTGTAGTTGGCAGAGCCTGTGTCCCTAAGTTACTGTAAAAGCAGTAGAGAGAGCCCAGATGAGGTAATTAGTTGCTAGGGGGCTTTGCTCCATTTCATATTTCCTTGAAACTTGTAATGGTAGCTAGACCTTAGTGCAAGTGGGATCAGGCCATCATCTCCTCCTCTGCACAGTGGAGTTACGGTGGACCCAGTTAGTTTTTGTCTTGGAATCCATGGACTTTACTCTTCATATACGTCTTTGTCCTGTCCTAGTATTCCCTTCCTGGCTTCTCTCAGTGAAGACTGCTCCCTGGCTGTGCTGGACTCCAGCCTTTCTGAGGTGTAAGTATGGAGTGAAATGCTGTAATCAGGAATCAGGGAGTAACGAACAGTTTCTTTTTTTCTCCTAAAGAGAAGAGGAAAATCTGTATCTGAGGGGACTGAGGCATACTCCTCCTTCTAACCAGGGCTGTTTGACAACCACCTGTGTCCCTGATAGAAGAGGCATGTGGGGGTTGGGTGAAACTTCTGGATCTGCTCTTCCAGTCTGTTCGCATAAAGGGCAGCCTACTCTTTTCATATAGAGAAACAGATAGATGAAATGCAACCTGCTTTAATGTAAAAAAGGCAAGGGCTGGAAAATCTGAGTTATACTGCTCTCTGCCATAATTTACTGCCTAACTTTGGCCCACACTACCTAGTTCTGGCCATTATTTCTTCATCTATGCAAATGGCGGACTGGGTTGGATGACTGATGACATCCACTGTGGAGAACTACACTACTCTTCTTGTGATGAGGGCATACAGATGATGAAATGTGTACACATCAAAATAATGTGCTGTGGATCGCAATGGTCACTTGCTTCTTACATCTGCTTTTTTTTCTTGTCTCTACCATGCCTAAACATTTTATTTTTTGTTTGTTTTGTTCTAGGTTTAGAAGCCGAGCCCATAGAGACTTTGTGAGAGATGCTACTTGGTCTCCACTCAATCACTCCCTCCTTACCACAGTGGGCTGGGACCACCAAGTCATTCACCATATTGTGCCCATAGAACCTGTCTCAGACCTCAGACCTGAGAGTACTGCTAAGTAGATTGTCTTTAAGAAGAAGGCAAGCCCCCACGCGAGTCACTCCTTTGTCCTTGCCTCAGTTTGTGAGACAACACAGGAGACTTCTGTAGAGTGTATTGATACACTAAATCTGTAAAGTTAATAAGGCTTGTATCAACCTGAGGGAAGCTAGATTCTGGCATACTGTAGTTGCAGCAAGAAAAAGCTTTCAAGGATATATATATATATATATATATATATATATATATATCTGAATGTATTTGTTGGGGGTTAAAATCATTCTCAGTTTTTTCAAGCACCATTCCCTCCTCCCCAAAAAAAGTTGATAGAAAGTTTTATTGTTTACGAGTAGTTACTTGTGGGGAATTAGCTCAGTTTTGGAAGCAGCTCCTATGTTATTTGTAGAGATAGGAGCTACTTACTTTATAGAGCATATTTCATTATTACGGGAAATAATTCCATGCACCAGAATCCAGCTCAGCTACTCTGAAGAAGAGGCAAGATACTCACCAAAGTTTTGTACAACTCCTTGCCATTAAACTGAATCAGAAATCTTTTTCTGGCTGCAATTTTGGCTGGTGCTTATGTAATGCCTGCTCCTCTGCCCCCTGTGGCATTGTATATAATACAGATGAGTGTTTTTCTGTCATAGATCCCATAAAGGGAAGTTGGGAATGATTGAGAGCTTAAAGGTATTTGAGTGAAATTAGAAAACTGACATGGACTGTTCCAGAGAAATCTTTTGTCACTTCTCCAACCCAAAACCAGCCTGGGATCTGACCTGCTTCTGGACCTCTTTCTCTGGATGTCAGAAGTCTGAATGTTGTGTTGTGGACTCCTAGGGCTTTTAAATCTGGCATCAGGGAAAGAATGAAATGCTGGTTGGTGAAATAAAGTTCATGTGTTTGTCTTTTTGAAGTCTGTGTTATGTGCAGTTAAACAGTATATTTCACTTATGTGAGTCAAGATATCAGTCTTAGTTTTTTGAGACAGGGTCTTTCTTGCTATGTGTTTTAGACTGGTTCTGAACTCACTGCAATCCTGCCACAGCCTCCTAAGTGCTGGGAGTACAAGTCTATGCCACCACTCCTAAGCAGAGTATCAGTTTTACAGCCTACTGAATTTTCTAGGCTTCCACATTTCCCAGATTAGCTAGTTGAAATTTAAAGTGAGTGTTTTATTTTCTTGGCTGGTTGGAAGAGCCACTGCTGAAAGTCATGAATAAGTTACTGTTTTGAAGGTAAATACAATCAACTATGTACCTTTGAAATTTGCAAATTTAGGTAAAATTACAAAAAATTGTGCATCTTAAAGAGAATATGGACAAGTTTCCATGCATTGTCTTGCTAATGGGAACTCCTGTCCTTTTGGTTACTCTTGAGTAAAACACGAGAATTCATGATTTCGTGTTAAGGTGAATAAAGTCTTCCATTGTTCTTAACTATCAACTTCCTAGGAACATGGGTAGATGGAATCACTTAAATTCTGCCCAGGGGTAAAGTTTAAATTTTGTGGGCACTTAGAGTAAGGAGGGATGTGACATGAGTAGGATTTAGATAACCTTTTTCCTCGGGTTTAAGAAGAGTAGGAAAAACCCAGAGAAAGAACAGGTGCCAAGGTAATGTGTTAAGATGGTTACAATGATGCCAAAGAAAGCATATGATAACTATGCAAAAGGTAACTATGTTATCTTTTGTAGTAAAATGAGAAATTAGCTTTAGATGGGTTTATGCATGAGTCACATGACTGCCACAAGATGTGTAAACCTAATCAAGGTCACAGAAACAAATTGGTTTCAAATAAACAAGTAATTGTGAGAAGATGGTTTTTAAAGAAAAGGTGACCTTGAAAGAATGAATGAAGTGTCATGTAGGTTGATTCACTGGGTCCTTGACTTGGGAATAGTTTTAGGACCGTGAGCATGGTCCACCAAGGTCTTTAGAAGTCCTTGAACCCACAAGGAACACTGAAGAAATCATATGTAGATTGAGGTGAAATCAGACTTTGGGCTGATTCTCTATATCTTCCTGCCTCAGAGAACAGAAGGTTTATGGATCATTAATAAATTGCTATCTAGGCACTAGTGGTTCACAATTAGAGCAGCAAAAACACCAAAACTGGGCTATGTTTCCCAAGGAAAAAGGTGAAGGAAAGTTGTATTTTACTTTAGAAATTAGACTCAACTTGAAACGGCTCCCAAAAATATTTGGCACTAGGCCTAAAAATAAAGGGTTCTGATTTTGAAGATATTCTTGTTGCCTTTGGACAACAAGAGTAATGTCTTTGAAATATACACATGCATGTGTGCATACACATTTGTATTTTGGTAGTTTGGCTTAACTTTGAGTCTACCAACTAGGTAAGAATGGGGTTGGGAGAAGACTTGCTCCAAAACACATGAGACACAAAACGTTTTTGTGCTTTCTGGGAAAGTTTAAAATATTGGAGGAAACCCAGTGCAGAAGAAGCTGTGGGAATTCATATAATCACTGAAGTGAACATGTTATTGCCAGTCTGTGGGTCACAAAGAAAATCAGAATCACTTTTGCGGGAAGTTGGTTTCGTTGGAAAGAGTAAGCAAACTAGTCTCAGTTTTGAGCTAAATAAAATTTCTCTCCAGAATTTAAGACTATAACTCATGTAATACTGTTTTGGAACAGTAAACAGGATTAGGTAGATCACTGTGGAGCCAAAACACATTTTCATCTTTACTTAGTTATAGGACTAGAACAGAGGAGCTAAAGAAAGAGTGAACATCTAAAAAGGAGGGGTCAATTTTGTAGAGGCCTATTGCACATTTATTGTAAAAACCTTCCCTTGCAAACGCTGCTCTGCAGCTTCAGTGTAAGAAACAAATTATCAAAATTCAAATAGTCTCCAAATAACATCCTTAAATGTTCTGAAGGAAACTCAGCCAGTGTCATTGTTTTCAAGTTTGTTTAGCAAACAGGTATATCTCATTTGTCTGTGTGATGATGGAATTCAAGATTTCAGTCAAACATTTCACTTTGGGAGGTACTGAGTGGATAAGCATTGGGAATTTTGGTTTCAATTTAGTCTCAGCTCATAGTTAAGATTGGTTTAGAAAGTGGATTTTGCATGTACAGTTTACGTGAGCTTCTGCAGTCTTTCCGACTTGTTACAGAAGTCCCTAGATGCTGGCTAGTCTTTAAGTGTTTCTAAGGCTGCCTGTGCTCATTTCCTTGGTTGCTTTTGCTCTTGGTTGCTTTTGCTGGATTGCTGTTGGTTCTGGGCCTACCAAGATAAGTCAGTTGTGGATTCTTTACCACAAGTACTCACTTTATAATAACTGAAGTTTTCTATGATTTTAAAAACTTAGGTATTAATGTGCTTTGAAGTCTATGATAGAACATAACAAGAAAAAACTATGAAAGCATGGTTTTATATGATATATTTTTTCTAGTACACATTAAAATAAAATTTACAAAATCAGCCTAGGAAAGGAAGGAAAAGAGAGAGCAGACAGGGCAGGGGTGGAGTAAAAATGATCAAGATGTATATGTACCAATTCCTCCCAATGAATAATTATGTTTCAAAAATATATACTAATAATTATAAAAATTAACTGGAGGAAAGAATAAAAAATCCTTCATTGCACAAACAAAAAATCATTTTTTTATTCTCTAAACATTGAGAGATTACCTTCAATTTAAGGATGATATAATTTACTAGAAAATGCTCTTTCAAATTTACCATCATCTGTGGTGAACACTCTTTTGGTTTATTATTTTATTCAACCACTCCCTGATTTTACTCAGTAATGCTTTTTCAATTTCAATTCAATAAAAGATTTAGACAAATACTTTGTTGAAACCAGAGCACTGCACATCGGTGGTCTTGGCTTCATCTAAATGATTATTGTTAAATTTGAAAGGAGCCACCCTGCCTTAGGGATTCATCGGTTACTCAAGTAAAAGGCATTTGTAAGTGTTTCTCCACTTTGTGAGAGCAGGCTGAGGACTAATGAGGTATATTTTCTAAGTATCCGGGTGGGTATGTTTTGACAGCAAGAACTCAAAAGGAGTGCGAGCAAATAAAGTGACACGGTACACTGATTTTCAACATAGCCTCTCAGCATTTCACTATTTATCATCTGATAGGCACAGAAAGTCATACTGCCAACCCCTTGGCATGGTCTTTCTAACTTAAGAAGTGGTCATTTTTGGGCATCCATTGTTGTATCTTGGCATTCTCAACATCATCAGTCACTTTTTCAGATGAGATCAGGTCTGAAATGTAGACATGAATATTATCAAAGGATAAGAACCCAAAGAACTGACCCAGGTATAGATTAGTGAGGTGCAGATGAACAGGAAAAGTTGGCTTCTGCAATGAATGCAGCTTTAACTATTAGGGGCCCTGGCAGCAGTGTGAGTGGAAAGGTACAAACCTGGTGGGAAACTTCAGTGAGGTGAGAAACTGAAAGGCAGAGGTTGCTGTGGGGAGAGGCTCAGAAGTAGAGAGATGCAAGTTCTTGTTCCACATTAAGAACATCTTGAAAGACTGGATGTGGTAGTATATGCCTATAACCCTATCTATGAGTTTGAAACAATTTGGGCTACAAGGTGAGTTCAAGGCCAGCCTGAACTGCACAGTGAAACCGTGTCTTAAAAAAAAAAAAAAAAAAGAACGTCTTGAAAGAGCCAATAAAGGCTCAGGCTGAAAGCTATAGAGACTTGGCAAGATTGAAGCCCCAAGGACCAGCTGTGGTACTGGTAGATTATAGAACAGGAAGAGAAGTTAAAGCACAAAACCAATAGCAAGAATTTGGGCGCATGGGGAGGAATCATGGAACAAGTAACTGCACACGGCAGCAGAATCAGAAAATATGCCAGAAATCATCTACCAAAGGTACAAATTGTTTTCAAGCCTGATCCTATGTTGGCCTCAGCAGGCTTAATTATCCCCAGATTTCAGTTAATCTTAGCCTAAGGAATGGAGGGTGCATGAGGAAAGCAGGTGGGGTGCAGTGCGGGAGTGGGATATCAGGTCTCTTTGACAGCAAAACTCATGTTTTCCTCACTTTACTCATCCTGCTACTTCTCCCAGAAAGGGATGGCAACTCCTAACTCTGAGCATAGAATGAATCTGTTCACTAGATCACAAGGTCCTAAAAGTAGAAACTGTTTAAGAGTCTGTGAGTGCCTGACACAAGCTCAGTGAATATTTCTTGAAATATTTATTTAATAAATAAGGAAGATAAAGATGGATGAAGAAAGGAGACACTGTCTATTGGATCTGTGCTGGGTGGGGTATTCCATCAGATTTCCTAGAACTTTAGTGAAATATCCATTACCCTAGCATTCTATACCATTTGTTTTTTTTCCATGATATCCAAGCAAACTATTGATTTAAAAACAATGATTCTCTTGGTAGTTCAAGGGGTAGATATTCTATGGATTTGACCACTAATCTTGCTTCTCCCTGGGTCATGTAGCTCACATTAGTATATGGACTAGGTAAATAGTAGTAGTCTCTGAAAGGAAGGGCATGTGCTCTGAGGCCTCCTGTGAGAGACCAAGAAAACTGACAAATCATAAAAGCATCTGCCTTAGAAACCCATTCTGTTTATCTTTCATACTGCTGATGTATTTAAAAATTGGTGGTCAGATACCTAGAATTGTGTTCATCATATCCCTGAGATTTATGACATATTCATTGCATTGGACCACATAATAAAGGCTCAAATATTATTGACATATAAAAATTTAGATTTTTGTCTTCTCTTGAAAAATCCAAGGACTTATAAATACTGGGTCTATTTTCCCGCAGGACAACAGTTAGCTGCTACTATCTCTGTTGTCTCCTGACCAAGAGACTTCATTCATATCATTCTATCTGTATTACTGAATTATTATTCTTCTAATAATGTTGAATATTCACTTTTTTGGTGCCTACTTTACTGCTTAACATGACCTCTGGTTGAGTATCAGTATTTGAGTTTGAGAACTGTTCTCTGTTGTGCAATCTTTTTGACAGACTTCATTCATTGAGTCCTGATTATATGTGAAGTACTGAACTAATAACTTTTCATACTGTATTTCTTTAGTCCATATAAAACCCTGTAAAGTATTTATGTGTGGAAACTGAATTGTAGAAATTTGAAGGACTGTGCAAAATTATAAGACTAAGTGATGACACTGAGATTTAAACACTGCATTTAAATTGGGTATGGTGGCACAGTCCTGTAATCCTAGCATCTAGGAGAGTGAAGGAGGAAGATCACTACTAGTTCAAGGCCAGCCTGGACTACGGGGTGAGTTCAAGGCCAGTCTGAACTGTGTAGCAAGACTTTATCTCAAAAAATAAAAACAAACAAACAAAAAATCCTTGCATTTAAAAGTTGAGCCCAAAGCCTGAGTTCAAAGCTGAAACTTTTAAACTTTACACTAGATTTCTTCTGCAACCAATAATCTTGTACCAATAGACTCACTGCTACACACAGTGTTTCTCTCCCATATAGTGCTGAACACCAAGAAGCAGCACTGAGTGCCAGCCTGGCTTGGGAATGTTGCCCTGTCCTTCCACAGCCCACGGTGGACACTTACTCTCTACCGGTGTCAGACAAAGGCTGACCAAAGCCTTTTGGCTTTGTTGGATCTGAGAACTACAACTATGCTGAAGAGGGAGGACAGGTGGTTCTGGGGTCACTGTGACTCTCATGAATTACTAATTGTGGCACTGAATTGTGTGCACATGAGTGTGTGGGGGGGTACATAGCCAGATTGTCCTGGTGCTGTGTATGGGAGAGCCTCTATAAAAGAGTTCAAACTCTGGCCTCATCATACCAGATTGCTGAGATGGGGAGACTGTTGTTATGGGTTGGTAAGTGTGGAAGTTCTCAGCAATGCAGGAGATGCCAGGCTTTCTGAATTTATCATATCTCTGATCTCCAGTAGAGCAGCCTGGGACTAAGGGGTCTGGATTAGGTAGAGATGGGATGGGACATAATGAACATCGGAACTCAGGGAGGAAAGATCATAGCAGTGGTTCTCCAACCTGATTGGACATTAGATGTTTTCTGGCTTGGGTTCCTCCTTTGCCTGATTAAATGAGAATCTTTGAAGGAAGAGCTGGGGTACCAGTACTTTTAAATTTGCAACCAAGATTGATAACCACTGGCCTAGAGCTCCTACTGGAACTTGTAACCATCATCTTTCCCAGGTGTATATGTGTGGTACAGAGAAAGGGAACTTAGCTGCTTTGGTCCAACATTAGAAGAGAGGAAATGAATGAAAAGGATGTGTCTCTATTTGTGTATCTGTATTTGGAGATAGTGCCAAGTTGGTGAGGGCACTTGCTTATCAGAAGGTGTGTGGGGGCATGCCACTTGAACTGTGTAGATGAGTGTGTGTGTGACTTCATCTGTTTCTTACAGGGCTGGCTCTCGTGCTGAAACACCAAGATGGTAAGAAAACTGTTCTTTACTGCAAAGCCAAGGAGATTCTCTGGCTAAGAAGCCTTCCACACTGCTTGTGCCCTTCAGCCTTGCACTGCCTGGGTTCTTTGCCAGGGATTATTGATCCAAAGCAGTTCAGCAGAGGATAGTTGATCACCTGATTTTTGTGTCACTCTGTGCCAAGATCCAGACTTAAGGATTCATTTTTGACCAGGATTTCATAAAGCGTTATAACCCCTTTATCCAGGAATCTTAGCAAAGGGGAGGGATTTTACCTTGTTCTGTCTTTGGCATGTATGTGGTTGTGTGGCAGAATCTGCTACAGTCACCTGGCCTCTCGGGCCAGGTGCTCACACTTCTCTCTGGAAGGTGAACTTCTTATTTTCCCTTGATCTCTGTCTACTCATATGTGCTCTCTTTTACCAGGTGCTGCCTACAAACTGGTGTGTTATTTCTCAAACTGGGCCCATAACCGACCAGGCCCTGCCTCTGTTTTGCCCCAAGACCTGGATCCCTTTCTCTGTACACACTTGATATTTGCCTTCGCCTCAATGAGAAACAATCATATTATTGCCAAGAATATCCAGGATGAGGAAATTTTCTACCCAGAGTTCAACAAACTCAAGGAGAGGTGTGTTTATATTAGATTTAGGGTTGAATTTTCAGATTTTACTGATGTAAGAGAATTAAGCCTGTTTGTCCTATTCTTTTTAAACTTTCTTCTGATCCTTCCTGCCTTAGCCTCCTCTCAAATGCAGTTCCGGGACATCCCTAATGTAAGAACTCTCAGTTAACAGACTCTTTGAGCTCCTTCTTGCCTCCTTGCCTTGCTAATTGCTACTGCTTCTTCTGGATGTCATCTCTCTTTCTGCATGGCAATCTCTAGGTCCCCTTTGGAGGTCAGGTGTGAGGATTTAAGGTATTAATGATGTTAAAGTGCCTTAAAGACGTTCTAAAAATCATGAATGCTCAACAAATGCTGATGTTTTCATTATCTTTTATTCCCTGCAACTTCCAAATGGCAACTTCTTCAAGCCAATGTTTCCTATGTCTTTGAACACCTTGTAGTTGGGTCACAACCTGCATACTGTTGACATTCAGTGCCTGCATAAGTATTTCCTTCTACAGAACTCTTGCATTCTTTTCTTGACCAAGGGAAGGTTTGTTGCCACATAGATGGGCAGAATGAAAATCGTGTGCCACCAGATCTCAGGTGCCTGAGAGAGGGGAGTTCATCCACTGTTTAATATTGTTATCTCAAGCACCTAAAGCAATGAAGGCACATAGTCATTGCTCAACAAGTATCGCTGGATACGTGAATATGTGAAGAGGAACATTTTAGGCTAGTCTTTTATTTCTAGAAACATTATGGGACTGTAGGGGGAGTCTGGTGGATTTTGTACAGACAGTTGTGGGGCTGTGATAAAGCTTGGGCTGAATGCTTTCCCTGTGTTTCTTTTCTTCTTTCTGTGTTCTCTCTCCTCATGTCCACTTTTGGCTTCCTTTCTTTCCCCTATGTTTCATTCCTCTAGTTTCCATTGTTCATCCAATTATAAAAGCAAAAAAAAAAAAAAAAAAGGTAAATTCACCTGTGCCCTGGCATGAAGACCTGCCTTCTCACTCTCTTCCCACATCCTAGGAATAAGGAGCTGAAAACACTGCTGTCCATTGGAGGGTGGAACTTTGGCACATTGAGGTGAGCTCTTCTCACCATTTTTTTTTTTTCTGAGAGAGTACCGCAGGAGGGTTAGAAGTGAGGTTGGCAGGGTGAGAGAGTCAGTTAATTGTAGGACAGTAAAGGTAGGCACATGCTTCCTCCAGCCTTGATTTCACCTTGGATTCAACCACCACTATGGAGGGTCATAGAAAAGAAGCCATTTCCCACAGGTGGCAAGAAAGTGGTTGAAGGAGGATAAGAGACAAAATGCGACCCTCTCAAACAAACCTGAACCTTCCAAAAAAGATGGCTATTTTGTCTCTGAAGGAATCTTGTATGGACAAGAAAAATGAACCCCAAAACTCACAGGGCCTGGATTTCCTCACTTTATTAGTGGAACCAGTGATACCAGCCTTTGTTTTGGTTACTTTTTTCATCACTCTAACACCCACAAGGTAAAAGGGGAAAGAGTTATTTAGTTCACAATTTGTAGAGGCTTCAGTTCATAATTGAGTGACTCCAAGACAGGATGGCTTGGCAGGGGGGTAACACAGAGGAGAAAACTGTTCATTGCAGGCAGAAGACAGCCAAAACAACCAAGCAAGGGACAAGACAAGCTTCTTTCTGTCCTTTATATTGTATGCAGGCTACTGAGATTAGAGTAGTGCCAAATCAACCAGTGGACTGAGTTAGTAATCACCCTTAATCCTAGACCTTAGTCCTCGCACTGTACCATGAATCAATCACACACTCTAAATCCAGCTCTCCACTGAAAAGGTCTCACCGAGGACTGCAAGAGGCTTGCGGGGGGGTGGGGGTGGGGACGTCAAACACAAGCCATAACAGCCTCAAAAGCCATGTTAGAGAATAGGAGGCCACAAAGCTAGTGTTAGGGCGAGAGGACAGTTTATGCATTCAGTGAATCACGGATGCTCCTGTCAGCACTGCACCTTCCCTGAGGCAACGTGGAGTAGACAACCTGCCTACATAGTCTCTGAAAAAATGCTTCCCCTCTATCATGATCAACACCTGGGCCTGAGGTCTGCCTGCCTTCTCCCCCTCAAGGAAGACTTAGTGGCTTGGAATGAGTTGGAATGCCCCTTGTAAGGGACTTCCAGACATAATGGAAGGAAGATTCCAGATGTGATGTGACAACCATTTCTGCCTAACTCTAGCCGTCATGTCTCCCACTCTGAACACTTGCCGTGTGCCAGATACAGGGCAAGGGGCAGCAATGCATTATTTTGTAACTAACATGGAAATTTAAAGTGATTGTATGCCTAGTTGATAGGGAAAGAAAGCAAGAGGCACAAGTATTAATAATCTTGCCCCCAATTCAATCAGGCATCCTTCAGAGCTCACCCAGTTGGCAATGGCAGGCAAGACAATGGAACTCAGGCCCGTCTATCCTTGAGTCTGGTTATTTTCTAAGTATTGTCCATCAGGCTAGCCCAGAATTGCTTAAAATTCAGCTCTAAAAAGTTAGAACTTTTCCCAAAGTATCTTCACTTTGAAAGAGCAAACAGACAAAAATCAAACAAGAAAATCAACAAAAGGGATGGAAATTCCTCTTTAAAACACTGGCCTCTTATGTGAACTTATTGAGCTCAGGCTCAGATTAGCTCAGTTTTCAGTAAGTGCTGATTTTGGCTCACTCTAGTCAGGGGAAAAATGTCTGTCCAAAGATAGGTGGCAGGAGCTGACAATTACCAGTGAAGAGCCAGACAGAGTGCCTTACCAGCAAGTGAACCTAGCCAGGAACACTAAGGGAGGTTTACATTCTGTGAACAGCATTCTTTGTCTCTTACCCTGATCTCTCTGCAGATTTACCAATATGTTGTCCACATTTGCCAACCGTGAAAAGTTTATTGATTCTGTTATCTCCTTCCTGAGAATACATAATTTCAATGGGCTCGATCTTTTTTTCTTGTACCCTGGACTGAGAGGCAGCCCCACGCGTGACCGGTGGACATTTCTTTCCTTAATTGAAGTAAGGCCACTCTGGGAGCACCAGAATCTAGCAATGACTATGCTTTTTTGTTTGTTTTTTAATCATGTCTGGGTTCATGGCTAACAGGGAGCACAAGGCTGGGGACAGGAGCAAGAGATAGAAAGCAAAATGTTCTTTTCCTGCTGTCATCCAGAGAAGTGTTAGGCATACTTACTGCTTGCAGGTATCTTCTGTTGCTCTTTTTCGGTCTGCATCTGGGTCTTGCTCTAGTCCTCCAGCATAAGTGGGATATTCTTGAACTCCCTTGCACACCATTAGTCTGGATTTTGTGCTTCCAGTCTGCTTACCTTGTCTCTGTTAACTCTGTACTTTGTTAGTCTATGTCTGCCTTTTGTGATGCTCTTTGGCAGAGCCTGTTTGTGACTTAGTTTTGTGTCTCTAAACTTGGCCTAGAGAGCTCAGTACTATAAATGTTTCCTGGATGAATCCCTATCTCCCCAGCTATTTTCTCTGGCTTTTTCTTTCTTCCTAGGAGCTCCTGTCTGCCTTTCAGAAGGAAGCACTGCTCACTAATCGCCCAAGGCTCCTTCTCTCTGCTGCAGTCTCTGGTGTCCCACACATTATCCAAATATCTTATGATGTGTACCTTTTAGGAAGGTGAGTAGATCCTGGTGGGGAAGGATGTTGGAGGGAAGAAGGAATTTTGAGCCCAGAGCCCCAGAGCAGCTCATACACTGTCTCTGCACTTATCTTGTGCCTACCCTGGTGTCAGTGGGGATTAGGAGCAGGCTGAGGAGTGTGGATGAGGACAAGAGTCAGCTGGATTGTATAGACTCTGGGTCTTTCTTTAGAAAATTAGAGGGAGACGCTGTAGTAGTGGTCACAGTGTTATCACGGATAGAGTATTCTGCATGGCCTATTGCTGTGTCTCACAAGGGCAGAATACCATGAACCTGGCCTCTTCCTTATTAAAGCACAACTATAGACACTATGCAGCAGATACTAGCATTGGAGCTTGGATGAATTAACAACCACTGCTATAATACCACAGAAGAATGCCAGTTTTCAAAGTAGATCTTACGGCAAAGGTTTAAAAGGTAGATGAACATTGCATATAAATCTTTCTGCACATCATAGCTCTGGACTAATTTTCTTTGAATCTCAACAATAAAGTATGCACAAATGAAGTAACTGCAGCAGATGCAGGAAAAGAGAGGGTGTGGTATTTCTGTGTGTGATTGCACAAGGGAGAGCTATTTCAATGTGAAGAAAATGCAGGAAACCTAGTAGAGGATGGAATTTGTTAGTGTTAATCCAGTAGCCAGGCAGGATTGCAAGAGTCTTGCCTTTATCCAACTGGATGACTTTGAGAACTTAGTTAACCTGTTTGAGTTTCAAATTCTTCTGCTTCAAAATGGAGAAAGTATAGTACTTACGTCACTGGCCATATTGAAATTAAATTAGATACTGCATGCTTCTACCTCTGATTTGGCACATGCTCCATTAGATCTGGCCCTTATGAAAGCTCTGGGGACAGATGGGTTTCAGTGACTTTTTGAATGGCAGAAGGGCAGAAGCTCTTTTATTGCTATAGGACAGTATTGCTTTGACTTATGACAGCTTATGCAGACTTATCTGAGTCCTGCCTACTGCCACAGATACTCTTAGCATGTGTACCGTCTGATGCACAGTTATCCCTAACCAGCTGTTTGTTCCATCTCAAAGTGGCTGGTGTAGTCTGGGCAGGTTTTACAGGTAAAAAGAGCAAGGAAGCTCAGGGCACCAATGCATAGCTGCTCACTTAGTTAGTGCTGATGTGGTGTTTTGAAAACATGGCTAGTCTGACCTATATATCTCCACCTCTGCTCCTTGCAGACTCTTGGATTTTATCAACATCTTGTCTTATGATTTACATGGAAGCTGGGAGAAGTTCACAGGACATAATAGCCCATTGTTCTCTCTTCCAGATGACCCTAAATCTTCGGTAAGGAAAGAGCTCAGGCACCCCAGACACTGATCCTTGATTCCAGGCCATTGTCCATGAGAAATAGAGAGGCCAAGAATTGTGTCACATACCCATAATCCCAGTTCTTTTGGAGGTTAAAGTAGGAGGACCACTAATTCAAGCCCAGTTTGGGCAATTTAGTGATTTAATAAGATCCTATCTCAAACTAAAAAGGACTTAGAATGTAGTTTAGTGATTCTAATCCATAGTGTGTGTTGGGGGTGAGATAGGAGAAGGCAAACAAACAAGCCAGCAAACCATCCATCCATCCATCCATCCATTCAGGTAGCTGGGGATGGTGACACATGCCTGTAATCTCAGGAGGCTGAAGCAGGAGGATCATTGCGAGTTTGATGTCAGTCTGGGCTATATAATGAGTTCAAGATCCACCTGAACTAGGTAGTAAGTCTCTGTCTCAAAAATAGGAAGGAAAGAGAGAGAGACACACACACACACACACACACACACACACACACACACACAGAGAGAGAGAGAGAGAGAGAGAGAGAGAGAGAGAGAGAGAGAGAGAGAGAGAGAGCAGAGAGACTGAAACAGGGAGAGTTTGATGTCAGTCTGGGCTATATAATGAGTTCAAGATCCACCTGAACTAGATAGTAAGTCTCTGTCTCAAAAATAGGAAGGAAAGAGAGAGAGACACAGACAGAGAGAGAGAGAGAGAGAGAGAGAGAGAGAGAGCAGAGAGACTGAAACAGGGAGAGGTTGTGTTTTTCCTCCCTACAGGCATATGCTATGAATTACTGGCGAAAGCTTGGGGCACCCTCAGAGAAGCTCATCATGGGGCTCCCCACATATGGACGTACCTTTCGCCTCGTCTCAGCTTCTAAGAACGGGTTGCAGGCTGCAGCGATGGGACCAGCATCTCCAGGGAAGTACACCAAACAAGCTGGCTTCTTGGCTTATTATGAGGTGATGGGATTAAGGACTACTATCTAGCAGCTAAGGCCTCTCTACCACAGCTGGGGCAAGGATCAAGAAAATGGGCAGTGGTAGGGAAGACCTATGGGCAGGGGCAAGAGGTAATTTATTGGGACAAGAAAATTCACTACCCGGGAGATTTTCTTTAAAAGATAGAAGTAGAGTTCTTTGTGAGGGATGAGAGACTTGAGAATCTGAGTGGAAGCGGACAGAAATTCTACACTTTAAAAAGATCTTAAATGTTATATAAGTAAATCCTGACTTGCTATTTGGTTTAAATAAAAATCAAGTTTGCTCATTTGCAATATATATATATATATATAATTTCAAAAATGTTCAAAAGTAAAACAATAGCATCTACCTAATATCTTCTACTCAGCTTCAGTCATTAAGCCATGACCAGTCTTGTTTCTGTTCTGTTCTGTTCTCTCGCTTTCTACATTCCTATAACTAGGTTACTTTGAAGAAATTCTAAGGCACTTGCTATTGTAGGTTCTTTCATCTCTATTCCAACACCACCCCTTAATATTCATCTTAACGGAGCTTGCTAGGAGGTAGGATAGAGGAAATAAATAGGGTCCCAAGTGAATGTAAGACATAAGAGAAGTTAATGTATGCTGTAGGAATCTGGAATAGTCTTATGGATCAGGTGGACTCTAAGAACACTTTCAAGCACAGGAGAATCATTATGGGCAGGTCAAGCACAACAGGTACAGAAACATGGATGTTAGGGGTGACCAGACAAAGAGCTATAATCTTAACTTAGGCCCAAGAGGAGGTGGCCAAGTGTCTCCTGAAGCTCTGTTCTATGCTGGATGGATATGGACATTTTCCTGCTAATCCAATGAAGCATGCTTATGAGTGTTGCATAGTTGGAATAACGTTTTTGAACAATATCATGGGTCAAAAAGAGTTTAATAGAAACTGTAAAATGCTCAAGGAAAATAGAAGTAATGTAGAGATGAACTTATAAACCCTAAATTGGATACATCTTTTTTTTGCAGCATATGGTTTCTAACACAATTCTGGACATTGGGTTGATACTTGGATGCTTGATAGATTATAACAGACTACTTTTCCCTGCCTTCAAAACCTTTAAATCTACTAGAAATTATAGCACTTGTTTGATAACTGCCTATATATAAAGCAGTCTGTGTTGAGACCAAATGAACAGAAGAGAGATTTGTTTATGAAAACACTTAAAAATGCAGGTCCAGTCATGGGTCAGGTATGGTCCTCTTAGTACTTTGCACTTTTGAGTATATCATGTACTACCCAGTTCTCTTTTTTTTCTCATCATGGATGCTAAGGGAGAAAAATGGAACAGAGAAATTTACTCACAATAAGAGCTCTTTTGTGAGTGGAGTACCTACTCCTTCTTTGGTCTACCTATTTTTTCATTCCTGGTGAGGACTTTTTGGCATCTTTATCATGGAGCAAGGAACAACCATGCTTCCTGGTGTCTCTCTCTGTGGCACTATATGGGACTCACTGTGATCCTCCTGACAGGTTTGCTCCTTTGTCCAAAGAGCAAGAAAGCACTGGATTGATTATCAATATGTTCCATATGCCTACAAGGGGAATGAGTGGGTTGGCTATGATGATGCCACCAGCTTCAGTTACAAGGTGAGACACTGGTTCTTTCCCCTCCTCCTCTCCTTCGCTTTCTTTCTCTCCACTTGCCCCTCCAATCCTGTCCCTTTTCTCCTTTTTCTTCTTTTTGGACCAGATATCTTCTTCTTTTCTTTTTAGAACGGACATTTTTATAGCAGACAAATATTAATACAAGGTAGCTTATCCTAATTTCTTCATGAAAATTACTGATACATGGCAGGGATGAGAAAATCAGGGAGAGCTTCTTGATGGAAGTAAGCAGGAATAGAAGGTAATGACACGGAGGAAGACTAGGTGGGGTAGGAAGCTTCTCACAAGTCCAAAGAAGAATTTGGGAAGACCAGAGGCTTTTATGGAGAGGTATAAATGCTGGTAAAGAAATTTAATTTTTATTCCACAGGGATTTTAAAGGAGGTTTCTGAACATGTCCATGACTTGCAAGTTTGAACCTTTAGCATATAACTCTGTCACAACCCCTATATAAGTGGTGTTTTACAAAGCTGAATCTGGCATGTTTTTTAGTGAATTAAAACAGAGACTTCACATCCCGGTGGATTCTGAGTTTGCCTCTGTTTTGAAATCATTTATGAGACTTGATAAATAGAGAAATTCTTGGTTTCCACCTATGAACAGTAGGCCTTAGAAAAGTTTGGAAACTGTTTTTAGTATGTCCTCACATGTGATCCTGCTGTAGTCTATTTGGCATTCTGGAGTTTCTACTGGCCATAGAGGTTCTAAGTGTGTGATAATGAGGGCCTGGTTGAGGATGGCTGAGAGGAGACGCAGTTCGTGAATGAAAAGTTCTCAATATTTGGCAACTGCCTGAATATCATGGTTGTAAGTGGAGGGGATTCATACTTGTAGGTGAATATAGAAGTGATAGGTGTTTGGTCTTCCTGGGAATGGAAAAATTTGAGATGGAAAACACAAGAGATGAGATGCTCATGAAGTTCCCTTTGCAGTTATACATGTAGCTTCTCTATGTATAACTCCACTGAGGCCTCCTGGGGAGAAGAGAGGTGGAAAGCATGACTTCCAGCCTCTAGGACTTTTCTCAGTGGTTTGGGAATGGAAATCACAGACAGAAAAGATCAGTTATCCCACAGAAAGAGCAAATTGGGTGGACTTAAATCTATGATCCATAAGACATCAGAGAAGATTTACCCTGCATGTTGGGAGAAGATATGGGGACCAGAAGTAGGGGATGCATTGGCTTGGAGAGCATTATTTGTCTTTTAGAACTAGATAGGGACGTGAGCCTCTGTGGGGATGATTAAGGGACTTCATCACAGAATACCAGAGGTAAAAGAAACCTTGGAAATTGTTGCTGTGAGATAACTGTCCATTGATATCTCATGAATCCTCTTATCATGTGAGCTTTCTGAGCAAAGGAAGCAGACAAACTACCAAAAATGGAGAGCTCCCTTCTCCCTTCTCTCAGGACTATTTGCTCACTTTCACGAGTTGTTGAAAGTCCTCTTCAAAAAGTTTTCGCATATAAACAGAGCAGAAGGAAAATTCTAGTGAAGTCACCTTCCCCCACTAGATAGTCTGCCATAGCACATAAGCTCTAAATCCCGCAATTTTGAAACTCACTGTGGTGCAAACCCAGCTCACAGGCAGGTAAACCTCTCATCACATTGCCCTTTGGAAGCTGGGATGTGGGAATCCACTCAAGGTGCTGTTCTAAATCTTTCTGTTTTTTTTCTATGAATAATTAGTAATAATTTGTTCCCTGATCTGCGTCCTGTGTGTTGGCAGGCCAACATGTTATCTTGTCAGTAGGATAAGCTCTCAAAACCTCCACAATTTCAGACTTAATAATCACATTCACCTTCCTTTTATTTTACATCTGAGTAAAGCAAATCCCAGAAAGGAGCAAAATGACTTGGTTAAATCACTATTTGAATATGATGGAGTCTGTTTTCTCTATCAACCTTGATAGAGAGCACTGGTGAAACAATAGGACGTGAATTTGAGTATAAACTTCTTTTAGTTAGTTGTATTAGAAATTTAAAAGTTATGGATAAAATCCTTATCTTCTCATCTGTATTATCTGCTTTATCTGTCCTTTTTAGAATCACCATGTTGAAGTGATTTTTTCAGTAATAATTAAGTGATACTTATACAGTTCAGTGAATGATAATGGCAATTAGCAGAGGGATAGTAGCCAACACTTAACCAACATTAATTCTTTGCTAAATATCGATCTAAATATTTAAATTAGGTATGCTTCTGCATAACATGAAAAATTTTAACCATTTTGATTCTGTAATTGAGTGAAATTAAATACATTCACATTTTGTGTAACTATCATCACCATTCATCTTCAGAATTTTTTTTATTTTAAAAAACAAAACAAAAAGAAAGGATAGAAATGATACAGAATCTCAAAAAAGAAAATAGGTAGGATATTAACAATAGTTAATATACTGCATATTGTTATCTCAGAACTAGTTGTTCAGGTTACAAAATCTAGACACAAAACTGTGAAACGAAACTCTGTACCCACTGAGTGCTAACTTTCCATTTCTCCCTAACCCCTGTCAGTCACCATTTAACTTTTGCCTTTATTAATTTGGCTTCTGTAAAGGAAATCTTACAGTATTTGTAATTTTTTTGTTTGGTTTACTTAACTTAGCATAATGTCCTCCAAATTCAATCCATATTGTATATATAGGAATACTTTTGATCCTAGAAATGTTGTTATTCTTTTCTTCACAAATAAGGTAACCAAGGTACATAATATTTATATAAAAATGATCCAATAGTTAATAAGTGGCAGAGGCCAGATTTAAATACAGGCTATGCACAGTATTGCTGCATTGCCTTTTGAAAGGTCATCTTTTGGTATTTGATATTGTATCCAGTCTGGAGGGAAATGAATATAGCATGTTGACAAACTGTTATTTTCACAGGCAATGTTTGTAAAGAGAGAACATTTTGGAGGTGCCATGGTGTGGACACTGGACATGGATGATGTCAAAGGCACTTTCTGTGGCACTGGCCCTTTCCCCCTGGTATACATCCTGAATGAGCTCTTGGTGAAGGCTGGTAAGTAGCTGTGACTTGGAAGCTAGGATTGGAATTTTCAGAACAAGACACTGGGTGGGTCTGTTCTGCTAAGTAAATTCTTTGCTAAGGCAATACGATATTGAATAAAGAGAAAAAATTTTGATGTTAGTCAATGTTTTCTAGTCTCGGTTAGGATATTTGGACCTTACTAGAGATATTAGATCTCTGAGCTTCTTGTGCCCTATCTATAAAATGAGAGTAAGCTTTACACTCATGACATCATTGCTATAAGAACAAGTGGAATGAGAACTGCACTGGCTTATAGTTAGTACCCAATATATGTGAGCTGATATTTCTCTGTTTCTTTCTTTTGCTTTTATGGGCAAGGATTAGAAAAGGAAATTTAGGTTCTTTCAAGATCCTGTTGTTATAGAGGCTACCCAGACAGTTAGGAGCTGGAACTTGGAATGCAAGAACAGTAACATTTTTAGAGATTTCTATAATCCTCACATTATGGATGGAAAGACTGGTGATTTGTTAGATCTTTAAGTGGGCTTCTCCCAAACATTTACACCATACTGTCTAGAGCCTTTTTTGCCAGTACCTTTGTTCCTGGTGCCTCCTACGATGTGCAGACAAGAGAGGTTTCTCTCTGAGAACTCAATTTCTGAGGAACTGTGGTTGGGGGAAAATCTTGCTGTTAGTGCAGAGGAGTCAAACAGAGGTTCTATACACAGGGCTTTATAGGTCACTCCCCAGAGTCATTCACCAGAAATGTAGCACACCAACAAAGTGCCCATGGCTTGGGATCATATTACATTATGGGGTCAGGGAGAATGATTCTTGTGTGATGAGATTTTTATCTGTGCTCTTAAGTGGTAAATTGTTAAATCTTCCAATACTGGGTTTTTGCAGGAGGTACTTTGATGTTGGAGTGGTTTTAGTCCTGACGGTAATTAATAAGACAGAAAGAAAGAGGTAGAATTTACACTCTTTTCTAATTATTTTTTTCTAGAGGTCAGCTCAATTACTTCACCACAAATTTTGCCTTTATCTTCTATGAATTCTTCAAGATCTGACTCTGAAAGACTGGCTGTGACAAAGGCAATGGCTACTGATACTGTTAAGATTTTGCCTCCAGGAGGAGAGGACACAGTCCATAAAAATGTAACTACAATTCCTATGAGTAGAATTGTGACTCTTGGAAGGGAAATAGTATCTCCTAGAAAACACAGTGGAGCTCTGGGAGGAAAGAGTGAGGTCTCCGAAACAAAGATTATGACTTCAGTGGACCATTGGTCTGTGGGCACTGCAGAGACAACTGCAGCCCTTGTGCGTCTTCAGACAGAGACCCTTGGGGAGAAGGCAGTGGCCACTGTGCGTCATCAACCTGTGACCCCTGAAGGGATAACTGTGACTCCTGGGCATCTTCAGACTAGGATCTTTGGGAAGACAACAATACCTAGAAGAAATGCTGTATTCATTGAAAACAACATTGTCCCCAGAAAGATGCCAGTCACCCCTGCTGCGAAAGCTGTGACTCTACCAGGGGAGAATTTTATTTCTGAGGTAGAAACCAACCCCAGGATGGGTGAAAGTGGTCGTTAGGTGTGAGATGAAAACTGGATGCTGTCTTCCAGCCCTTTCATCCATCTTTTAAGATGCATTCTCCTTGCTTTTGGCAACCCCTTTATTCCCACTGATGGAAATCATTCATTTATTGACTCAGTGACCTTTGCAACAAGTCTTCTTTCTAAAAAATAAAAAGACAACCCAAAAAAATTTTTCTGTGTGGATAAAGAATATTAAGCTCTGTAGCAGAAACTAGGAAAGCTCTTGTCTTTTGTCTTATGTGATGACACAAGCAACTTGATCTTACCTGTTGATAAAACATTCACTGGGTAAAACTGGCACCAAAGCCACAGGGTGTCGATCTCTTTTCTGTTGAATAAATTGGAAACATAAGAATCTACTTGGAGTCTCTGTTTATTTTTGTTGTTGTTGTTGTTTTGTTTTTTTAAATCCATCTCAGGACCTCGTGCTTGGCAGGCAGGTGCTTGTGCCACTGAACTATATCTCCAGCCCCTTATTTTCTTAAAATAAGTTGGAAAACTGAATTGTTAGCTTATTCTTTCTAGGCCATTTGCCTTTTACTATTTTTGAAAGGGACATTGCTTCAAGTCTACAATAATGTTTCTCACTCTGAATGATGGGCTTCCTTTTCTGCCATTATCAACAGCTCACTTCATTGCTTGTTGGACCCAGTAACTTCTCCAGCAGGTTTCCACAGTCTTCAAGAAGAGCTAGGAAGATGAGGAAGTAGAGTCTTCCAATTATGTTCTCTGTTTGGTGACATCTTAGTTGTACTTGACAAAGCATAGTATGCCTATTCTCTCCTCAAAAAGTGGTTGAGAAGGCAAAACAGAATTTTAAAATCTTTTAAAAAAATATTGCTGGCATACTTCTAGGTTACCTTCAGAAACACCAATTCTATGGATTAAACACCAGTTACTATGGAGTAAACAGTTTTGCTGGGAACATCTTTCTGGAGTGTGATTGAATTTCTTAAATTACTACAGATATAGATCTGGATTTAGCTCTCTGCTTCTAATAGTTTACACCATAAAAAGGAGCTGTCACATTTGACACTAACATTATGTACTAACTGATTTTCTGGTGCTAAGAACAGAATACCACAGAATGGGCAAAATATCAAAAGAGCATTTATTATGGCTCTAATTTCTTGTCCAAGGTGATAGAATTTTTGCTGTTGGAATCCTGAGATGGCTCAGGCATCACATGGTGAAATTCCTGTTACTACCTAAGGGAAAAAATGATCAATAAATAGAAATTAGCAGAATTTTTAAATGTCACTTGGAACTGAATGGACATGTGGAATACTTAAAGACTCTGAATACATGGCTAATTTTCAAAAGTTAATTATGCAGGAGTCTAGCAAATATCACTAAGAATTTCTAAAGGGCACAGTAAACTCTATAGTCTTATGGTGATAAGGAAACACATTATATTAAGAAATCTAACTCAAACGTGTTTTCCTTTCAAGACATTTACCAGGTTTGAATTGCATGAGCAAGAAGAGGGAGAGTTGGGTTGGGAACTTCTGATGAGAGATGAATTCCTTTCCACTTTTCAGAATTTAAGAGGTGTATATCTACCCATTCTCAATCAAAAGCCAACGAAGTCTTACCAGAGAAGTAGGGGGAAATCAGAAGTGGAGGAATATTCCAAAAGCTGCAACTCAACTCTGACCCAACTAAGTCTCTCAATTGGGATTATCTGGCTCTTAATTACCTTTGTACAAAATCAAGGAACAGAGAGCTAGTGTAAGTCACATTACCTTCAGCATGTACTTCACTTATTCACACTCAGAAATGCAAAGAAATAGATTAATACACTAATAAAGAGAACAAACATACAGTAGAAACATACTATAGGTGACTGAAATCAGAATTATATACAATGAAGACTGTGATTCTTATGATAGGAAAATAATAGACAACAAAATAAATGAGAGAATGAAGAATTTCACTAGAGAATTAAGATCTGTAAAAAATAAAAAAAATATATATTGTATCCAACAAAAGACATACAGGAGAAGTTTTATTGCTGTCCCTACCTACATAGTTGGCCTTGTGACTTGCTAATCTATGATGAAAAGTTGTCAAGTGCAAAAGATGGAAGTAGAAATGTAAATTTCATGGGTCCTTCCATATATATAGGTCCTTCCATATATATACATATATATATATACATACATATATCCATATATACTTATTACATAGAAACTACTGCTGGGTACAGAGGGTGGCATTTCAGTATTTAGCTTCCTTTAAGACTCTAAAAACTAGTGAGAGGTAAGAGAAGTACTCACATTATGTATCTAACAGAACTGAGTTTGCTCTGCATATTATAATGCTTTATTTCACATTATACCAAGGGAAAAGCTCAGGGAACTTATGTGTTAATATGATGCTGAAAAGAAAACTTTCTTGCCAGGCACGGTGGCACATGCCTGTTTGAGGCAAAATGATCAGTGGGAGTTTGAGACAAGTCTAAACTACACAGAAAGACTTGGTCTCAATCACCTTCCCCCCAACCAAAGACTTTCTAAGTGTGGTAAGAGAACCTGGAGCATTAAGATTGAGAGATGCCAGAGATACAGACATGATATGAAAACATCTTTAGAAGTGTTGGAAAGGTGATGGCTTGACTGTTTTCACATAGGTGAAGAAGGGCGCAGGCACAGGCACAAGCAGGCACAAATTGTCTCTAGCCAGCCAGCCAGCCAGCCGGCCAGCCAGCCAACCTGACTAGTCTTTATTTAGAAAGATCTGTGGAGACAAGCTTTTATCATTCTGTTTGTAAAATTGGAGTATCACCGCTAGATGGCAGACAACAACCTAGGTCACTTTTTTTTGACATAATCAGGAAGAAAACAAGCAGACCATGAAAAAAGCAACAAAACTACATTATCTTTAAAGTCGATACATTCACCCACATCAAAGCAAGAAAGCTCGAGAATATCAGAATGTGTTTAGGTAGAGGTCTTGAGTTCACAGACCAGATTGGAAATCGCATTTCTACCGTTTATTAACTGTTTAACCTTGAGGAAGTTAAGTTAGCCTCATAAGGATGTTGCTGTGATCAAATGAAATATGTACCAGGTACAAATTTAGTGCATGTAGGAGTCATTGTGTTAAGTATAATAGAGCGAAGAGTTCTGTGAACTACAATGGTTGGTAAGTGACTCTAGTTCACCTGTCTCCTAGAGAAAGTGCTTGAACAGATACCATTTTAGAGAGGGGTCAATTTAATCCAGTACTTGGAGCAGCCATGAGTTGGGTTTCTCTCAGGGATCCCAATGACTGGTTAAGGCACAACTTCAGGAGACATCCAGTGTCAAGAAGCTAAGATACCCAGAGTGTTATAGGATGAACGATTTAGGCCCTAACCCCACAACCAAAAACCAGGCCCCAACCCCACAACCAAAAACCAGCCTGAATTTCTGTGGAGTTGAAAGAACTAGAGTTGCATCCTACCCTAATCCTACAGAAGGCTTGCTGGACATACTATGGGGACCTGGACTCTGTCTGCCTCCTTTATCTATCAATGATAGCAGAGACATATCCTGAATTGAACACTGCCACAAAACCACAGACCCCAGAAGATAAACCCAGACTTGAAATCAGAGAAATTTCATTTCTCCTCTTTTTTCTTGGTTATTTATTTTTTCATGAGTGTGAACATTATTTTTAGTCTTGTTTTGTTCTTGTTTTTTCATTCTTTCTTTCCTACTATATTCTTCACCAGTTTACCAAGTCCTGGGCAATCTACCTTTGTCCTTCAGCCTTGCTTCTAATCTCTTTCTCTTTTGTTTTTCTATTTTCCCCCTTATCTAATTTTTCTCCCCTGTGGGGAAAATCATTCTATTAAGGGGATATTCACTGTACATAATTTTCTAATTTGCGATTTTGTTATATAACTAATAAATCTTTTACTTATGGTTAAATGTGGCGAATTAACAGTTACTGCAGCTTGCATTTTCTAGATTGTGCTTGATGCTATTTTTATGCTTGACTGATTGTATTAGTTTAGCCAAAATAACAGTTATGATCACTTGTTCTTTCTTGCATGCAATACCAAGATTGTCTGGGTCATAAACCATACTATAGTTCAATATTAAAGAACTAAGTGCTAAGCCAAATAGTCAACAACTTCTTATCTCTAGCCAGCTATACCTAGAAGTCATCTCTGAAAAGCAGTAAATTCCTAAAGGAGAAAATATGATAATAAAGCTGTCTATCATAAGCAATGTATAAGCATCAGTGCAGAAGATAAATATTAAAAAATTAGAAAGTGAGAAGATACAGAGATAAGATGCAACCCCAGACCTCTATCTTGCCTAAGGCAAATCCAGGGGGCATTGAGGTTGAAGAAATCAAAAACCACCCAGCTGAAGTGGTAGCCACAGAAATAACAAAGCAGGTGAATGAGGATCTAGAAAAAAAAAGAAATAGTATCATAGGTAATTAAAAAGATTATTACTATAATGAAAGGTGTAGTTAGTGAATCTATAGTGGATGCAGATTAAAAAAATAAAAGAGCTCAGGAAAGTGATGGGAACTATAAATACCTAACAGGAAAGAACTAGATTCTATCATACATATTCAAACAGATATCCAGGAGAATAAAACTCTGATTGCAATTATAAACAGCAGAATTGATCAAAGTAAGAACAGAATATTAGAGGTAGAAGGCAGATTTATGTTAGCAACCATCAAATGAAAGACTTCTTAAAAATATCAAGGGAGGTCTTTGGAGAAAATGGTGGTGTAGTGAGCAGCAGAGAAAAAAAACCTCTCCAAGTTTTGGTGTTCAGACCCTGGAATATAGCAACATGAGAAGGAGGAGAAAGGAGGGTCCCATGGACACAGGACAGATCTGAACTGAGACTTGAAGCCCATGGAGAGAGATACTTCAGGAATCCAAAAAAAAAAAAAAAAAAAAAAGAAAGAAAGAAAGAAAAGAAAACCAGGGGTGGCGGCCCTGCCAAATGGGGAGAAACAGCAAGGAAGCCATGATGTCTCCATGTGTTGGTGGAGGCTCTGCTACCCTGGGAAAAGCAGTAAGGAAGCCATCTCTGCCTCCCACCTTCCCCCACCTGTAAGCAACTGGATGTGACACAGGCTGAGATGATTATAACTGAAGTAGGAAATCAACCTGACATTTATGTTGTTTTACTAAAACAAAAAAATCAAGAGATCATTAAAAATCAATCTAACAGCTGCTAGATGATGTGAAGAATAATCTAACATTGATTAAATCGAGGAAAAATTAGAAGATAGTACAAAGGACATGGAAAACCGTGAAATAATGGCAGAAAACTTCACAAACATGAAAAGAATTTGACGTATAGATAAGTGAGGCAT